CTTATTTCCCCAATAACATTTTTGAAAATTAGCTTGACTCTCCCCGAGCTTTCGGAGGCAAGTTTATATAAGCCCTATAACATCACCAATTCCAGATTATATTCTAATAAATTTCGACCAATCACCTTACCGCATATTTTTGTCACAAGGTACACTCACCTGCTTTATTTGCAAAGATACAGGACACATATCATCCCAATGCAATAACAGTTCAGTAACGGAATCAACTCATATTGAGTCAAACAATGAAGTACCAATTCAAACAGCTTCAACAAGTATACTACACAAGGTACCAAACGCCCAGCAGTCATCAAGTTATCCATTATCAAATCCGAGCATATCACCACAAATCTCAATGACAAAGAAATTACTAATACTCCTACTCATAGCAACACTTCAATTCCACCTCATTCAGTGGCAATACCGTTTTCACAAACTTCGGAAGCAATATGCTCCAATCTATCAGATCCTTTTCCATTAGAAACTATCTATCTAATTAGCTTTCTTCGGTCCATCTTTTTACATAGGCCTCCCCAATCCTTTTCCATTCTTGTCTGTCTGTTGCTACAGTCATCCACCTAGAGCCCACCTGCTTCTTGATATCATCTGCCTGTCTCATTTGGGGCCTTCCTCTGCTTCGTTTATATTCCCACGGTCTCCAACTTATAAGAATTTTGTTCCATCGGTCTTCTTTTGTCTTATATTGTGTCCGGCAAATCTCCATTTCAATTTTGCAACTTTTTGTCTAACATCCCTCACTTTTGTTTTTTCTCTTATCCACTCGTTTCTCTTTTTATCCATTAGTCTTATGTGCAACATTTGCCTTTCCATTGCTCTTTGGGTTTCTATGATTTTGTCCATGTTTGCTTTTGTAAATGTCCACGTTTGGGAACCATAAGTAAGAACAGGGAGTACGCATTTGATTGTATTTGGTCTTAAGATGCTGTGGATATCTTTTGTTTTTAAGAATGTAGCTTAGTTTACCAAATGCCGCCCATATACGAAATACTGGATATTATTGACTGTCGATATAAACAAACAACACAGTTTATTAGGGTTGCAGTCAGAATATTGGCCGGGATGTTAAATAAAAAACACTCTATTGACTTTTTGTCGAGCTTTCGGAATGATTTTATTCCTTTTTCAAGACACTGTAAAAGACAATTATGTAAATATTTAAAAAATATCACAATTCTTCAGTGTAACTTACTAGTCGTTGAGATTATTTTTGTAAGCATTGAACACTCAACATTTATACAACACATTAAAATATACAATTATGGACATATACATCATAAAATTTTTAAAATTTGTTGTAAAAATAGTAAAACTTGATTGATGCCATGTTTTACTGGTGTATATTAACTCATACAGAGAATGGAAAGAAAAAAAAACAGTGTAATTAATATGTAATTAGGTGTAAATTGATGTTATCTTTCTTTACGAGAAATACTATATTAGAGCCTCTCCTTAGGTGTCTATCCTATTTTAACCTGTCTTAATGGTATGCAACATATTATACAGAGGTGTAATTTTTGTACAGGTAAATATTTATTTTATTTTTGATGTTTTTCTAGTAAATAACAATAAATGTTACTTAATTTGTCTATATCGGACTTTTTATTGATGTAAGATGTGCTAGATTTTATGAAATCAATAAAAAGTCCGATATAGACAAATTAAGTAACATTTATTGTTATTTACTAGAAAAACATCAAAAATAAAATAAATATTTACCTGTACAAAAATTACACCTCTGTATAATATGTTGCATACCATTAAGACAGGTTAAAATAGGATAGACACCTAAGGAGAGGCTCTAATATAGTATTTCTCGTAAAGAAAGATAACATCAATTTACACCTAATTACATATTAATTACACTGTTTTTTTTTTCTTTCCATTCTCTGTATGAGTTAATATACACCAGTAAAACATGCCATCAATCAAGTTTTATTATTTTTACAACAAATTTTAAAAATTTTATGATGTATATGTCCATAATTGTATATTTTAATGTGTTGTATAAATGTTGAGTGTTCAATGCTTACAAAAATAATCTCAACGACTAGTAAGTTACACTGAAGAATTGTGATATTTTTTAAATATTTACATAATTGTCTTTTACAGTGTCTTGAAAAAGGAATAAAATCATTCCGAAAGCTCGACAAAAAGTCAAAAGAGTGTTTTTTATTTAACATCCCGGCCAATATTCTGACTGCAACCCTAATAAACTGTGTTGTTTGTTTATATATATATATATATTATATATATATATATATATATATATATAATACATATATATATATATATATATACATATATATATATATATATATATATATATATATATATATATATATATATATATATATATATATATATACATATATATATATATATATATATATATATATATATATATATATATATATATATATAAATATATATATATATATATATAGACTATATATATATATATATATATATATAATATATATATATATATATATATATATATATATATATATATATATATATGTATATATATATATATACTATATATATATATATATATATATATATATATATATATATATATATATATATATATATATATATATTATATATATATATATATATATATATATATATATATATATATATATATATATATATATATATATATATATATATATATATATATATATATATAATGAGATTTGTATGCATTCTGTGATGAAATTACTAGACGAAAATAAGTTAAGAGGTTTAATAATTACAATAATCGTACACATAAGGATATCTCCAAACTATTTATTAAAGATTATTTATTGATATATACAAAAACTGACATTTCGAACGTGCAAGTCTCCAATGACGTCACAAAAACATGCGCAATATCTTATCTTATAGTCATAGTATCATGCATAGTATCATGGATATATACAAAAACTGACATTTCGAACGTGCAAGTCTCCAATGACGTCACAAAAACATGTGCAATATCTTATCTTATAGTCATAGTATCATGATATTTTGTATGACGGATTGTGTGCGACGGCGCCTAGACCACAGAATAACAAACAATCAGAATGCCCACTCTCCATGGAAAATTAAGTACACGCAGACGTTCCGCCATGTTTTAGAGGGAACCAGTGTTGTTTATGTGGTGTGCACAGAAAAATTAACCCGGTTTAATTGACTTACGGCAATCATAGACATACTATACAATTATATTAAGATTGTTAAATATAATAACATAAATAATAATATAATTAAACATAAATATAAATAGATTCTAACTCGATGCGTTTTTATTAGGGTTACTATTAAGCAAGACAAAAATCAATTAATATTGTTCTGAAGCTATTTTCTTGTGGCATTGTAAATTAATTACTATTAAACTGGGAATAAGCCACAATTAAAGATAAAAATACGTTTATTGACGTTTCAATTTCCACTTCGGAAATCGTTCTCAAAATACAAACAGTAAATTAAACAAATTTTGTTTTTTTTTTTGTTACATAGTGAAAAATTCTTCTAATAATTTAATTTTAACCGACTCATTTATATTGACAATTCAGACATACATTATGCATTTTAAAGTAGACGACTTTAAAATGATATTGCCAATATTGTTGAGTTGCGCTCCTGGGACGACTTTACTTATAAGATAGTTCATTCGATTACATGAAATCAACTTTAACTTGAGAATATCCGTCAGAAAAAATCATAGCATGTAATTCGTCTTTAAAAAGACAAACATGACATGATGACAGTAAAATTCTCCTCTTAGTGATTCCATAGTAAATTATGAGGGAAAACCAGGAAAAAACCTCATAATACTATCCCGACATTGTAAGTATTTGTTCGTGAATTTAGTTTACCTTCAACAAACATCAAAATTCTGATTTTATATGTTACGTTATTTAAAAAACATAAATGATGTATCCTCTATATGTTACTGACTTACTAATACTGGTATTTTCTTATTAATAACTTCCTCTTTCAATATTGGTAACCAGATCCTACTACATTCTGGCGAAGAATTTGCGACACAATTGGCCTCATTTAACATAATTAGAGCCGCTTCTTTGATTTTTCTTTTTTTACCATCCGTTTCTTTTAGGACTACATTTGAATTACTCCATTGAACCCTATGTTCATTATCCCATGCGTGTTTACAGATTTGAGATCTATCAAATTATTATTTATTAGGAGACAGTGGATATCCATTAAGGCCCTGGCTCTTGACTCCTTTAGAAGAAGAACCTGCTGTAAACGACCCTGGATATAATTACAATATAGCCCACAAACAAACAAGAAACACAATAGAAAGGTGTAATGGTATCTTGAAAATGCGATTCAGGTGTTTATTAAAACACAGAGTACTGCATTACAAACCTGCAATCGCTAGCAGAATAATAAATGCCTGCATAGTGCTTCATAATATGTGCATCGAATACAATATTCCTGAGATGCCTATTGATGAAGAAAACATTGATTTAGGACAAATTTTTAACGAACTGAACCAGCCACAAAATGACAATTTACAAAATGCAGCAAGACGTGTCAATCCTGAACTTGCTGCAGGGAGAAGGTTAAGGCAAAATTTAATTAACAATTTTTTTACCAATAATTAAATACATTAGTAAAATATACTCAGTTTTTACTTATCCCCTTTTTACTTTATTTGAGTACAGTGTATTTCCATATGAACTGCACAAGAAAGAAAAATTGGTATTTATCAAATGTTATTCTTTATAAAAGTTTGTTTTCCACTACTCATTTTTATTGCAAAAACATGTTATTTACCTAAATATAAAGTTGTAGCTTCATAGAATTTTTATTTTTTTAAGTATAGATATCTCTAATTGCCCTTGTGTCATATTTTTCATTATCCTAAATCAAAACCTATTGAGGATTATTACTAAATAATGATTGTATTGTATTTTAAAATGAACCTATGTCCCTTCAAGAAAAGAAAACTATAAGTAAACAATCAAACTTTTTATATTGCTCCAATAAACAAACTTATAAAAAAATACAAATAAAATCTTTTAAAAAAAACTCATCAAGTTTATTAGACATCTCTTCTAATACAGCTACAATGCGTTCATTGGCAACTGCACTTCTTTCTTTTGCAACTGTGCTTCTTTCTTTTGCAACTACCAACCTCTCAAGCAATGAAATTTTTTTTTCATAATAATTTTATTTTATTTTTTTCATTTAAAGACAGTTGATAATTTTCTGCTGCCTCTGAAGTGTATTCTAATTTTTTTTTTGGTTTATTTTTAATTGGGCTTTTTTCCAGTTTTATTGGAGCAACTGTTGGTTGTTGTTGTTCCAATTCTTCTATCGTATCAGTCGTATCTACTGCATCTGGTTTAAGTTGGTGATCGGTCAAGTTTTCTTCTTCATTAAAACAAAAATTTGCTTCTGATTCCACAATGTCCGGTTGTCCAGCCAGTGATATTACTGTGATTGTTTCTAGCACTTCTTGTTCAAAGGGGTTTGCCTTTTCTATGGGTGGTCCACCTCCTGTACCTTGCGCATGTTTTTTTAATTGCCCATTTTTGGCTTTTGTCCTGCTTCGTATGTCTTGCCATGTCTACGATAAAATTAACATAATTAATATTACATTTGCAATGATAAGATATGTTTTATTTATTACCTTTCGCCAAGCTCGCCAGTTTTTATTGGCCCCATCACCACAACTATTTAATACATTTGCAATCCCTTGCCATTTATTCTGGGCATCGTTTTGCGAAAATGTGTTGGAAAATTTTGCAGCCAGCAAGTTGGGATTTTTTTTCATAAACTCCAGCAATAATTTTTTTTGTTCATCTGAGGCATTTGTTGATCTTTTTACTTTAATTGTTTGCATTTCCATTTTCAAAATACAAATGAAATGTTAACAAGCTGTAAACTGTAAATAACCACAAAATAACCTTATTCCGACAGCAGTGAAGACAGGCGTTTTAGACATTACAGTGTTGCTAAATGTATTTAGACGTCAACAATGCGAACAGTCGCATATTTTTGCGGACGGTGGTCAAGAATACCATTTTTAGAAAACGTTCGCAAATCAAACCTTCGCATCGTGCGTATACGTGCTAATTGCGAGTGATGTCGAGAATAGCGACCCGCGAGAATAGCGTGAGTGAGTGTGAGTTTAAAAATAAAAATACAAACTTTGGTTGATCGCCGTCGGACGGTTGGTCGTGGTCGATCGATCAGTCTGAGGCCTACCTTAAAGGTAGACAGGATTAAGTGACAAATGACAAGTAGTCTCTCTGTCAGCTTTCTGTCACTTGTGTCAGTGTCAGTTGTCTGATTCAACATTTGCACAGCAAGTGTTTGTTATGAATGTTGTGATGTGCATATCTTGATAACAGAGATTACAATGATTTTAAAAACATATGATGGCAGTTTATTTATTTTTATTTTTCTTACCTTAAACTCAATAACAATTATAACAGGTAAGTGAATAAAAATGTAAAATTTTTCAGTATTGTTTGTTAGAAAAGTGGGCGCGGTTGATGACTCTTAAAATATCTATGTTGATTAAATAAAGTTCAGGGAATACTTTGTGACTCATATGTACACTTACCTTTAAATACAGTTACACCTCTTCTTACATTTTTGTTATATCTTCAATGAAAACAATTCGCTTAAATTGTGAAGATTCTAAATCCAATTCCAAAAGTTTTTCAACACTGCTGCACAATATTTAAAAGTGCTATAGATCCATCAAATTTAAGTTGTAATATAGTTCGAAAATTATTTAAGTAATATTTATCAATATAATAATTTACATTATTTGAAGATACATAACTTGCAAAGATATTTTTACTTTTGAAAATAAGCATTTAAGTTAGAGAATAATAAATAAATTCAGATTAGAAGAAACAGTAGTATAAAGATTATTTTGCCAGCAATTATTGTTCTTCAAAAGTTGTAATATTAAACACAGGGTGTAGAAAATTAATTGTATTTTCTACAATAGTTTGTTTAATAAATAAACAATAATTAAATTATTTTCACTAATATATCTCACTAATTTAAAGACATATGATCAGCATGACATGCCTTCTTTCTGCTGTATTGTATCTTCTGTGCCTGTCAGTTTTTCAGATTAAAACTATTCAAACCCAAATACCCTTATTACACTTCATCTTTTCCTTCTCATATATAAGCACACAAGTAAAATTCCATTTTAGCTTCTCAAATAGAAGCAAGTAATAGTTCACCTCAGGTTTCTCAAATAGAAGCAGATTTCAAGTATAACTTTTTTTTATTAAATAGTTGTAATTAAATTCAGTGTCATTGCATAAAATATGTAAGTTCCTACTATTCCAATTTATACAAAAGAAGTTAACAGTTTTTGTGCCAATATTGTGTAACTGCTGGTGTGACACATTACAGGGCTGCCGGATATACTACTAAACTTTTTTGCTATAGAAATCACATTTTTTTAATATTAAGAACAATTAATATAAACAGTTGTGTGTTTTAAGAACATTTTATATGAACACTTATGTTTTTAATTGTCATTTAAAAGGGTGATTTGTTAGCAATTCCACTACTTTTATTTATGTAAATAATAAAATAACAATATTTCTACCGGAAATCTTATTTTAACTATTTCCTTTTTTATTGTTCTGAAGCTATTTTCTTGTGGCATTGTAAATTAATTACTATTAAACTGGGAATAAGCCACAATTAAAGATAAAAATGTTTATTGATGTTTCAATTTCCACTTCGGAATTTTGAGAACGATTTCCGAAGTGGAAATTGAAACGTCAATAAACATATTTTTATCTTTAATTGTGGCTTATTCCCAGTTTAATAGTAATTTATTTCCTTTTTTATTTTACCATTTATTACACTATTAATAATCCGCAAATGTAGGAAGGTGAGAATATAGTTTTAAATATTTACTTTTAAATCATTGAACCAGCTACCTCATCCTTTCCCCTACACAGGGATGTATATTTTTATGAAGTTTGAATTATACAAATTAACTATATATATCAAGGATTAGTGATAATAATTTTTGCAAGAAATTACATTTTAAATATCTTAGATAATAAAGAATTTAAATGGGTACTCCAGAATATTATAAACACTGTTTGGTCTGACCCCAATATCTTATTTGACAAGATTATTAGAATTTATAAAAATTTCTTGAACAAAAATCACTTAAATATTGTTTCACTAGAAGTAGTTCTCCAGGTTTTAAGTCAGTTGTATAAATGAATTAAAAATAGAAATTAAAATTTAAAACTAAGAAGACAGTTTCTTAACAGGTTGGATGCCGCTATTTTGTGACTTACTTTTATGTGGTCCCAAATTAAAAAAATAGAAAAAAACGTTATGCTGTTGCTAATAATTATGAATAATGATGTTTTATATGTAATTGCTATTTCAAATATTTAAGAAAAGGTAAAAAAACTGACGCTCATAAGCGGCAGTACCACTGAGTTTCGGCATTCATATCTGTGTACCATTGATGCTTATAAGTGTTGCCTATACTCTATGTACAGTAAAACATTATTTATTTCAAAACATGTAACAAAAACAAACCTAAATAATAATAAAACTTTGGCTGCTCTATTCTATTTTTGAATTATGATGCTGCAATTTAGATAATATCCTGGATTTACAGGACAAGTTTTGCACAGATATGTTGTATCAATCCGTTTTTTTCTTTGGAACATCTTTGTTTGACATCTTTTTCTGTCGAGCTGTTTCTTACCTGGAGTCACTTCCCTTTTTATTAGCCTATGTTCGATATTTGATGCTTTTTTTATTTAAATTCTCATAAGGAGGTAAAAGTTCTGGTAGAAAAGGTTGTCTGGTAGAACTGTATTTAATGACTGACTTTTTAGAAACGGAAAATCATTCATCTCACCTAGTACATCTTCCCAACAGATGTGGGAACATTCATCTACAGTTTCTTCAGCCGCAGGTTGTTGAAAATCTACATTTTCTTCCGCCGCAAGTTGTTGCGAATCAGAAATTACTTCTCCGATTTCATTCTCACTCTCCAAGTTCGTTCCTGTCCATTCACGATTAAATTCCAACATTTCTAACAGTTCTGCTTCAGTGTACTTTAGATAACAACTCCCTTTAGGTCTGTAGGGACGCCTGTAGCCTCAACATACTCATTTTGCATGATAATAAAACAATAAAAATATTTGAAAAACTTGAACCATGTGTATTTATGAGTAATAAATATCCTTCCTTGAGTGCCTACTAAGAAAAATGCAACACAACTGTGGTTCCGACTAAGAAACGTAAATAAATATATGAATATGTACCGAACACTTATAAGCGACGAAGGCCCTCAAGCAAAATACACAGTGACTCTTATAAGCGTCAAAGGCATCCAACCTGTTAATAATGAATAGTCCAAACTAAATTCACCCACGAAAAAGTAATAATAAGTAAGTGAATACCTCAAAAATGGAATTTTGACCTCTAGTACCTAATACAAATTGTTTCTAGAATGTCATGCAGAATATAAATAAAAATGCAATAATATATAGGGTGTTCTATATAAAATAACAAAGTTGTTGTTCACTTCTAGTATGACCGGAAGTGGCATGTCTGTAAAAATAGTTTCTTTAAGTTCCTCATAACTTGTAATCCCCATAAACTAATTTTCATAAATATCTTGTAAGTTGTTTTCTATATTATATAGCTGGTGTAATACCCTGTAGTGTAGTGTAAAATGAACTAAAATCAACTGAAAACAATGTTCATTGATATAAGGAATCTTGTAATATTTTTACAAAATTGTTTTTCTTATCATTATAGTAATATATTCATTTGAAACTCCTTAATACAAATACTGTGATGTTAAGTGCAAATAGTTAACCATTAACAAACAAAATACATTTGTAAAAATATAACCAAGTCATGAACTATCAGTAGAACACTTTTTAAGTATTAATATTATCTACAATTGATATTGTTATTATTTCGAAAATTTTCTTGAAACTGAGATTTATGTTTTACATATGTTTGGGTCCAACTTTTATCTATGATCATGGTTTGTAAAGGGAAATCACTTTTTGTTAAGTGTAGCTAGTAGAAATTGAAATAATAAAATATGATATGGTTTGTAACAGGAGTATTTTTTAAAAATATTTATAATATAAAATATAGATGGTTTTACAGTTATTTAGTGTTTATTATAATAAAAATGGTACTTGTAAACAGGGTGCGGCAGATTAACAGTCAACTAAAAATATCTTGAGAACTAAAGGTAACTGAATCTTGAAAATTGATAAGTTTTGAAGACTGAACTGTTAATCAAAATATTTTCGTCAATTTGCTACTTCCTGCTGTACCCTACTACTATATAAGTTGCCTCTAACCTCTTTTTTTAACGGAAGACCCTGTATATATATACTTTTTTTTTAATTTTAGAAATATTCACGTTATTCTGAACATTTTTTGTTAATACTTCCTTATACCTATTTTGAACGGTTCTTGATTTTTAGTGGTTTTTTTTTATGAAAATTACATTTTTCTACCATGTATATTAAGTTCAATATCTTCTAATGTAATGTGAATAAATGTTTAAATTCCTTACGAACTTATTAACCACATACAGCTTTATAGTTTACAGTGTAGAGTTGCCCTAATCACACTGGGTGCTGTCAAAATTGATACAAAACTGACATACTAAATTTTGTGCCTCATTCCTTTTTTTTTAATAGGACACCCTGTATGTAATTAACTATTTTGTAAAATAGGTTTTTCGCTATCGATCCGTATTAGTATTCCCTATATCTATCTCTTGCAGTTTTCAAATAAATTAACTTTATACATTTTTGTCACAAAAAATTTATTTATCATGTAGCCTATGGAATATCTGAGAACCCTCGACGAAATCATAAAACTGTAAAATGTTTGTTGAACAACTGTTCCCAGTTTGGTCAGTTTATAAGTATAAGGAACAAGCCCAAGACCTAAGTTGATAATGAAGACTTGTAAATAGATATTGTGGGACATTTTGCAGCTAATCCAAATATATCCTTACGGGAATGTGAACAATTGTTACAGGTATAGACTAGAACAATTCACAGAATTTAAAAACAACGTCATTGGACCCCTTATTGGTATACACTAGCTCAACATTTACACCCTGGAGATTATGTAAGATAAGTAGAATTTTGTGAATGGCTTTTAATAAAATAACAAGATGATCAAGATTTTACAAAAAAAAATTTGGTGTCATGAATCGAAGTTTACAAAAAATGGTATGTTTAACTGCCATAACAGTCATTTTTGGAGTGACGAAAATTCTCAGCCTACGTGGGATAGTAAATTTCAAGTGTCCTTTTCGTTTAATGTTTTTTGTGCTGTGAAAAATAAAAGATATTCGCTCTTGTAATTTATGATAAAACTTTAAACAGAGAGTGTTACTGCAATATTTAACGGCAAGTAATTGTACCAGCACTGCACGCTTTACATAATAATGAGGCTAACGAGCCTTAGTTTCATCAAGGTGGAGCACCGGTTCACAATATTTAAGGAGTCCGCACATAGGTTGATGAAATATGTAGCGATAGATGGATAGTTAATAAAGGCTGTTTCTCTGGCCACCAAAATCCTCACAACTGTCAACGTTAGATTACTATATTTGGGGATATGATAAAAATAAGGTGTTCTCTGAACCTGTCACTCATAAGTAAGATATTATAAATAAAGTCCTTCAAGTTTTTAATGAATAAGATGGAGAATCAATATCAAGAGCTACTAATGAAAATTTGATTATTAAAAGAGTTCATAAATTTTTGGCAATATTTTGAAGATTTATTACATTAATAAGCTAGTGCGTGATTTCTTTAATAGCACCTTTTTAATTGTTCAATGTTTAATTACCATATGAAAGTTGTAAATTAATACAACATTCTTCTTCTTTGAGTACCTCTCCTATCAGAGATTGGATATCATTAAGGAGATTCTAATTTTATTTACTGCTCTTTTGAATAATTCGTTAGTGGTACAGCCAAACCACTCTCTTGGATTTTTCCTTGCATTATATTTTGTAGGAATGTGTACTTTTGTCCTCTCATCAGGTGGTCTAAGTATTCAAGTTTTCTCTTTTATATTGTGAGTATAACCTCTGGATTGTTATTTATTAATTCATTCATCAACACAACATAGTCTATAAAAAAATATAAAAAATTGTGACAAAAATGTGTATAGTTAATTCTTTGAAAACTTCAAGAGATAGATATAGGGAATAGTTCGAATTTGTTTGTCAAGGTGGGTGGATGTATTCGAGTTTTTGTGAATTTACTGGTGATTGATTCTTGTAAAATATAAGTATAATTAGTTGTTAGTTTTGGTATTGATATTTACGAAGGGCATATTAGAGTTTTTTAAAGCGTAAGTGATGTCAGAAAAAACGGGCGGCAATAGGCCGCCCGATGAAAAAAACACGTTTGATAAAAGTGATAGTGAAAACAACAGGTATGTTCAACTAATTGATATGAATAACACTTATAGACCGAGAGATAATGGTCCATTTTATGTGTTTGTTGAACACAAAAATAAAAATTTAGGGAGACTTTTTCCAATTAAAATAGGGCACTTTCTCCTTAAATATGAAACTTTAAAAAATGATGTAATAAACCGGTAGGTGTTAATAGGGTAAAGTTTATTACATTAGAAATAGCCAATAGCTTAGTAAACCACTAAGTTATATTAAAAAATGAGCATTTAATAATAGCATTTATACCTAAATTTTATACACACAAAAAAGGAGTTGTCAGGATGCTAGATACTTTCTTTTCTGAAGAATATTTATTAACTGCTATCAAATCAAACAAACAGGTATCAAGTGTCAATCGTATGAAAAGGAAAATTATAGACTCTGATGGAAACGTAGTTTTGGTAAACAGACAAATGATAATAGTAGAATTTTTAGGAAATGAAATTCCAAAATGTATACAAATAAATTTATGCAATTTTCATGTTGAACCTTACATACAACCCGTTGTACAGTGTTTCAAATGTCTGAGAAATGGCCACTCAGCTAGACAATGTAAATCAAAAAATGAGAGATGCCAAAAGTGTACAGATACGAGTCATACAAAAGAGGATTGTAAAGTAAATAATTTGTGTATTTATTGTAATAATAACGACCACCCCTCAATTTCACGTTTTTGTCCTGTATATGCAAAGCAAAAGGAGATAAAACAAATTATGTCAGTTGAAAACATTTCTTTTAAAGAAGTCGAATATATATATATATATATATATATATATATATATATATATATATATATATATATAATAATCTATCATATGTGAAGGTGGCTACGAATAACCGTTTCTCTATTTTAAACAACGATAACAATTTTCCAACTTTACCAAATAATTCTGGCGACAGTCCATCGTCTAATATTACTTTTAAAAAACCAAAACCAGCTTCTAAAGCCAATACTAATAAAACAATTAAACGAACACACCCAACCTCTCCTACACCAGATACGATGCCTGTAAAAAAAACTTATAAACCTAGTCAAAACCCTAATCCCCATTATACCTAACCCCTACAGAGAAGAATTTATGGACTATAAAGAGAAAACTATAATGTTAATTACCTCCTTCATAAATAAATTCCAAAAAAATTTTCAATTAGCACCAAATACTCTCATGGAATCTAATATCAGGGACTTTGTAGAAAGTGCCTTTGTTCCAAGTGATCCAAATGATGCTATGGAAACATATAGTGAATCAAATTCAGGTGAAAAACTCTTTTACTAATTAAACTTTAAAAATGGCTGCTAAACAAACAATTAAAACCAATTAGTAATTTTGCAGTGGAATAGTAGATCAATAACATCTAATAAAAATAATTTGTTAAATTACCTTAATAAAAACCATGTTGATATTATCATACTTTCCGAAACTTGGCTTAAATCCAATAGTAATTTTAATATAAAGGGATATAATTTCATTAAAAGATGTCGTGATGACGGATATGGCGGAGTTGATATTACAAACAATTAACTATCAAGAAAGTGTAATAACCCAAAATATTTCAAGGGGCATTGAAGTATGTGCAGTATTTATTCCAGATATAAATATTTCTTTAGTTTCAGTATACAAACCTTCAGATATAGCAGCCACAAAAAAAGATTGGTTAAATTTATTGGTACAGTTTGATAATTCTCGTACAATTTTTGGCGGCGATTTTAATGTATACCATTACAGGTGGGACCCTATTCCGGAAGATCGCGAGGGAAAGGATTTAACAGAAGCTTTAGATTTTTTGGAACTTTTTTTTTTGAACCTATTCTCTATCCTTCCATTGTTGGATATAGGCCTCCCACTGTTCTCTCCATCTTTCCCTATCTTGAGCTGTTCTCTTCCATGTGGGACTTCCTTGTTTCCTGATGTCATCTTTCCACCTCACATGTGGTCTGCCTCTTGATCTCTTTGCATTGTATGGACGCCACTTTCCGATGGCATTGTTCCACCGTCCGTCTTGGAGACGTTCATTGTGTCCAGCCCATTTCCATTTCAGTTTTGCTGCTTGTTCTATCGCGTCTACTGTCTTTTTTTCTGGTTCTAATCCACTCGTTACGTTTTCTATCTTTAAGTGATATACCCAACATTTGTCTCTCCATCGCTCCTGTGCCTTCCTTATCCTATCCAAGTTGGCCTGTGTAAATGTCCATGTCTGTGCTCCGTAGGTAAGCACCGGTATTATACAGGAGTTATATACCTTGCTTCGTAAGTATAGAGGGATCGTTTGATTTTTTAGAACGTAAGAAAGTTTGCCGAACGCTGCCCATCCCATTCTTACTCGTCTCGATATTTCGGCTGTTTGATTTTCTCTGTTAGCTGTGATTGCTTGTTCTAGATAGATATACTCATTTACCTGTTCTATTTTTTCTGTTTGTATTTTTATTGCCTCTTGGTCTTCCGTCTTTGTCATTACTTTTGTTTTGTTGAAGTTAATTTTTAGGCCTTTTTGCAGTGATTTTTCATGAAGTTCATTCAGCATTAATTCCAGTTCTTGTCGTTCCGAGGAGATCAGGAGTATATCATCCGCATATCTAAGGTGATTTAGGTATTTTCCGTTAATACATATTCCTCTGTTTTCCCAATCTGTTGATTTTATTATGTCTTCGAGGGTCAAGGTAAACAGTTTAGGTGAAATTATATCGCCTTGTCGGACTCCTCGTTTAACTTTTATATTATCCTTTATTAATTTGTGGTCCAGAATTACGGTCATGGTTGCGTTTTGGTTAATATCATGTATCAATTGGCGGTATCTTGAATATATTCTACTATTGACCAGAGCTTCTTCAACCGCCCAGTGTTCAACGCTGTCGAAAGCCTTTTCATAATCTACGAATGCTAAGTACAGCGGAAGGTTGTATTCATTGGTTTTCTCAATTAAGATTTTAAGCGCATGTAGATGGTCGATTGTGCTGTATCCTTTCCTGAATCCGGCCTGTTCCACTGGTTGGTAGTTATCAAGTTTATAGGTTAGTCGGTTGTTTATTATTCTTGTGAAGGTTTTATATAGTTGTGACAAAAGGGAAATAGGACTCCTGCCACTCCTGCCCGTGACCTAGTCTAGTTTGTCTTAATAAAAATGTCTTGATGGGTCCCTAGACAAGAAACGAGTGGCCATGTTTTGTATCCCTATCCTATCCTTAATAACAATAAAAAAAATTCAAATTTTTTGTGGCAAATAGACAAGTTCTGATGCCATCCACTATCTACACACACACACACACACACACAGATATAGGGAATACTAATACAAATCGATAGTGAGAAACATATTCTTCTAAAATAATAAATCACATATAGGGTGCCCCACTTAAAAAAAAGGAATTAGGCAAAAATTTATCATGCCTCTTTTATGCCAATTTTGACAGCTCCTTGTATAATGAAAAAGGCAACTGTACACTGTAAACAATAAAGCTGTATGTAGTTAATAAGTTCCTAAGGAATTAATACTTTTATTAAAATTATATTAGAGGATATTGAACTTTATATAGGTGGTAGAAAAGTGTAATTTTCATAAAAAAACCATTATGAACTCAAAAACGGTTCACAATATAAGTATAAGTATTAACAAAAATGTTCAGAATAACGTGAATATTTCTAAAATAAACAAATATACATGGTGTCATAACAGTTGTAAAAACAGGTGTAAACAGTTCACTCCTCAAAACCCCTTCATTCCAATTTTTATGATTCTGTTGAATGTTTAGTTCTCGAGATATTTCTAATTGGCCGTTTATCTGCAGTATCCTGTATATATTTGATAAATTCACAATAACCCATTATAAGATTTGATAATTCTATCTGTTTTATCTACTCAGACTAGTCACCTTTAAATGTGTTATATCTCTTACATCTATATTTTGGTCAAAAAAATCTACACTTCTATCCTATTATCGTAATCAAATTTATTTTAGGCCAAAACTTCTGGAAAATCAATTCATTAGAACAAGATCAAGTTAAACCAAAGGAAGATAAAATAGTTTGGTGTACAATAACTCCAGAAGAATTACAAAAATGTAGAAATTTTTCTATGGCCAATGAAAGAGATCAAATTTTAGTTGGTTACAAAACAATTAAAATAGAGTGTGTTCAAGCTTCTAATAAAAAAGAATGTATGGAATGGCTAGATGAAGAGAAAGCAACAATGACCACTTTGGATGCAGGAGCTGTATTTGCAGGAGGAAGGTTTGTACTGATTTCTAGCTATATATACTGTGGTAGGGCATGGTTTTTAATAGCATGGTTTTAATTTGCTTCACAAAAAAAATAAAATTAAATAGTTTTACATGGGAATTACATACATGAGGGAATCATGTTTAACTGACAACTATTATTTAATAGGTAAAAAAATAAAATAAGACTTACTAACAATCAATTCAATTTTACCACCAAAACGACCGGTTTCGCTTACTACTCTTTGCTAAGCATCTTCAGGTCTAACGGTACCAGGTAAATTAAATGATGCCGGTACAAGAATTATTAATTAATGATTATGAAAACATAGTTCAAACTATCCTGGATTGCTGGCGATGGGTGATCATCGGTTTTATTGTAACTGTTTGACAATTAGCGGGGTAGTTCTTGAGGGGAGAGATATTAACAAATGAAATAGGAAGTAGGTATTGTGTAATTGTTTGTTAAAAGAAAGTGATGTTTTATATTTTTTAAATTATTTAAAAGTTATTTACATTTATTCCATAGGTATATTTTAGAAATGTGTGTTAATTTATTAAAAGGAAAGCTATATGACAATAAATGAAGGTAGATGTATAATTTCTGGGTGTGCAATTACTCCAACTTGTAATTATCAATTTGTGATAAATTGATTTTGGTTTCTGTTTTGGCAGAAAATTGTGATGTCAAATATATTAAAATTAAAACAATTTTTTTTGTCTAGTGACAACAAAAAACTAATTTTTTGCCAATTCCTCTCCTAATAATCCATAAATCAAGTGATTTGCTTAATGCTGAAAAGGTTGTAAAATCTATAAGGCAAATTGAACAAGATATCTTCAATATATCGACGGTTTTTTTTGGCTGTACCGATGAGACTATCAAGGTTCAGGTGCATGACTCTAATTCAGCTGATATTAAAGTGGACTTGGAAAGGCTCTCATCAAATATTAACCAAATTTCAAATCAAATCTGTAAACTTCACAATAAAATACCCACTCTACCAGAAAAGACAGAGGTATCTATGAAAAATTCTGTTTGCGTCACCTCGGCCACTCAAACAGATGATACTCAAGAGACCGGAGTAGTTCCTCAACAAAGTTCAAACACTGCAGAAGAGAAGTGGCAATATGTAGTTATTAGCAACCTATCCCCAGAATATACTCCTATTCAAGTGGTCCACTTTATTAAAGAGAAGTTAGGGTTAAAGGAGTTTATTAGATGTTATGCCCTGCTGAAAAGACAAGGTCCTTCTAATGGTTCATTATTCAAAATAGGTATGAAGTCTAAATTCTGCATTAAGTTACTATTTAATAAGGAAATTTGGCCACCTAACGTTCACATTAAATGGTCTATTGAATCTCCAACTTCTGAACCACGGTATTTAGAGTCATCACCAGAATTAAACAACAAATCCATGGAGAATACTAGAAGCCCCGTTAGCCAAGAAAATTCATTAACCATTTTGAATGATAACAAAAATACAGGGGAAAAGATAAATGTAGTCTCAGATAAACATGCAATTGAAATTTGCAAATCAAAACCGCATCCTTATTCTCACATTAATTTTGTTAAAGAAAATATTGCAACGCCTACTGTAAATCTGGACCCTATGATCCCACCGAAGGTTAGATTAACCATGAACACGGACCCTTCCAACAATCGATATCTTCTAGCAAGATTAAGAGAACCAGAGATATTAAAAGCCATCAAACTGCATCTTGCCTTTCTGTACGACCAACCTGCTTCGGTTTGTTATGGGGGTTTTACGAAAACAAGCATCAAACTATTCTTGGCTTCTGAGGGACTTTCCATGACTACAGAAGATCTGCGAAAAATTTATTTGAAATTTCATGATGCCTATGGAATTGGTCCAGCTGAGGTAGACGAAGATCTAGCTGCGTTTAGGTCCTTTATTGCTGCTGAAAGAATTATCCATCTGCAAAGATCAAGGGAATGTCATCAAAATTACTTTTCCACCGCTTCTCCAAGACGAAATTTTTAAATGTTTCGACGTGTTCTGAGGGTCTAGAATCCTCAAATTTAACTGCTAGCAACTTTGGCATGGTTCTTATTAATATTCGATCGATTAGAAATAAGACAGACGAATTATTTTTGTTTCTGGAAGAATTAGGGTTTCCCCAGTTAGTTGCAGTGACGGAACACTGGCTTGAAGTTAATGAGCCAATTTTCATTCAAGAATATACCACAATTGCTAGGTATGATCGTCCAAGTTCAGCTCATGGTGGCACTCTGATTCTTTCAAATAACAATGATTTTTCTTCAGTTTCGAAATATGACTATTTGCTGGGTGAAAACTACTTCGAATTTTCTTTGATTTATAATAAGAAATTTAATCTATACATTATTTGCATTTATAGATCACCTAGCTCTGATACTGAACTATTTTTTCAGATCCTGCTAAATTTGTTAGATATTCTGCCCATTAAAAGCAGAAAAATTTTATGTGGTGATTTTAATATTGACTACGCTGCTGTTTGTGCGACCCAACTGTCTTTGGTAACTATTTTTGAATCATATGGTCTCACAATGCACGTTAATTCTCCAACAAGAATATCAAAAACATCATCCTCGACAATTGATTATGTGGTTTCCGATTTTCCACCCGCTGACGTCCATTCTACAGTTATTAGTGGGGGGCTTTCTGATCATGAAGCGGTATATACCAAGTTTATCAGTTTACAAACACCTCACTCAAAAACCCGACGATTAGGTAGGATTTTTTCCACTCAAAACTTTCGTAAATTCTATAATTCATGCTTGACTTCTGACTGGAGTTTTTCTTCTGGGGACATTGACTGTAATGTTAGTAATTTTCTAAATAGACTAGTATCTATTTTTAATAAAGCATTTCCTCTATTAAACATCAGGCCAAAACATAACAAACCTTGGATTACCAAAGGCATTCGCATATCTGCGAAAAATATGCGTTCTCTGCTATATATTAAAAAATTTAATGACAGTATCCCCATCTCTGATTATATCAACAAGTACAGAAAATGCTATATAAAACTACTCAAAGTAGCCAAAAAATCCTACTTTCATAATCGCCCAACAAGCTCCAAAAATATTTCAAAAGAAACTTGGTCAATAATAAACGATTTTCGAAATAAAACAAGTACAGCGGATCAGACCTTTTCTTTTCCTAACCCCGAAAATCTAAATGATTACTTTGTTAATGTGAGTAAAAATATAACCTCAACTATTTCGCCACAACAAGATCCAGTTTCCTATCTCTCTAATTCAAAAAACATTGCTGATACCTTCTTTTTAAGACCAGTTGATAAGACGGAACTCATTTCAACAATTCGTAGTATAAAAAGCACATCGTCCTGTAGTACAGATAGATTATCTATTAAAATTTTCTCAAATCTACCGCATAATATTTTGGAGGTCATGGTCTCACTAGTAAATGATTCCTTGAAAAAGGTACATTCCCTAACGGCCTAAAGACTGTCAAGCGTCTATATTCTTTGGTATTAGGTCCCATTCTTTTTTTACTTTTCATTAATGACATCACTTACTTGAAAATTAAAGGGAAAATTTTTCTATTTGCTGATGATACCAGTATTACTTGGAGCAGCTCTGATATTTCAACGCTTCATTCAATTATAACCGCTGATTTACTTATAATCAAGGCTTGGTCAGACTCCAACTTACTTAGCTTTAACGTGGATAAGACTGTAGCATTATCTTATAAAGGAGTCATGCAACCCTTGCTTTTGAATGAGAGCCAAATCAATATCGTAAATTCCGTGAAATTTCTAGGTATTCTCATTGACAGTGATCTCAAATGGTCCTTGCATACTGACTCCTTAAGGAAGAAACTAGCCGCAGCTTGCTTTGCAATAAGATCTGTTTCGAAGGAACTAAATTTATCTTCTGCCAAAATGGCATATTTCTCATTGTTCGAGTCCCATCTTCGATATGGGCTTCCATTTTGGGGTTCTAGTACAGCGGCCCAATTTGATACTATTTTTAAGTTGCAAAAAAGGCAATCCGTTATCTATTTGGTCTCAAACAAACAACTCATTGCAAGACCTTCAAAAATCACGGAATTTTGACGCTTCCCTCTTTATTTATTTTGGAAACGGTTTGTTTGATTCGAAAGCATCTAAACATTTTTCCCGATAGACCTGACCATGGCTACTCCATTAGAAATTCGGATTGTAACGTTTATTTGCCGATCCCGTCCACTCAGCTAGTAAAGAATTCTATTCTATATCGTGCAAAGAAACTTTATAATCACCTTCCAAGAGAAATTAAATCCGCAACATCCTTCATTAAGTTTCGTAAGGTGACAAAAATCTATCTCTCAGAAAGACCATATTATTCAGTTGACGAGTTTCTTAATGTATAACAAAGAAACAAAATTAGGATTGTTTATAATTACATTTGGGTGTCTCAAGCAGTGGCTACAATTTGTCTCATTTGTTGTTGTCTGTACAAATTATGTAGGTTATACAATAATTTTACTAATTTAAAATTGTGTTATTCTGTTTTTTACTATATTTGTTTTTGTTTTATACTTTTTGTACTATTTGACTGATTTATTTTTTAGCTTTGTCCATAAAATTGTTCAATAATTTTCAGTGACAATAAAGCATATTTCTATTCTATTCTAATAAGTGATGTAGTACTACTAAGTGCTCCCCCTTTTTTTTTAATTAATGTCTGTTTTTTCTTTTTGATTGTGTTCTGTTTATATATATATATATATATATAGATATATATATATATATATATATATATATATATATATATATATATATATATATATATATATATATATTATATATATATATATAGATATATATATATATATATATATATATATATATATATATATATATATATATATAAATATTGTTATATTTATTAAAGTATCTTTGATTGTCCTTAATTGTTTTAATTTTAATATATTTGATATCACAATTTTACATCTACCTTCATTTATTGTCATATAGCTGTCCTTTTAATAAATAATTCAATAAATTAACACACATTTCTAAAATATACCTATGGAATAAATGTAAATAATTTTTAAATAATTTTTAAATAATTTACATAATATAAAACATCACTTTTTAACAAACAATTACACAATACCTACTTCCTATTTCATTTAATATCTCAAGAACTACCCCGCAGAACTACCCCCGAATTGTCAAACAGTTACAATAAAACCGATGTTCACCCATCACCAGAAATCCAGGATAGTTTGAACTATGTTTCCCAAATCACTAATTAATAATTCTTGTTGCGGCATCATTTAATTTACCTGGTACAATTAGACCTGAAGATGCATAGCAAATTGTAATATGCGAAACTGGTCGTTTTGGTGGTAAAATTAGATTGATTGTGAGTAAGTCTTATTTTATTTCTTTTACCTATTTGAAATGAGCTCACACAGACAACACATTCATGATTTTATTATTTAATCACTTTTGTTATTCAGATGATCTCTTAATATCTCTATAAATTCATTACATTATGTCTGTGGATGATTTTCATGAAAAGAATTAAGAAAGACCATATAGTTCTAAAAATCGTATAGGTTTAGTTTTTAAAATTAAATTTAGACTTTTGTAGTTCTTAATTCCTATTACATAATTGTCATAATAATGATCGTTTGTTTATGCTTTCAGATAGATTTTAAAAGTATACATTTTTCATTTCATATCTTTCATTTTGTTTTTTGTATTATTTTATTAATATACTGTTTTTTATATTGTTTTGGTAAAGCATATTTAGATTTATTAGGAATTTTCTATGTTTTGTAGATATCACAGTTTGGTACCTATAGCTCAGGAAGTCTTAGAAGGTGGTTTCAACTACTACTATGCTGTAGCCGTTATCAAAACTGGAACTCTAAGCTATGTGAATTCCCTTCGGCAATTACGAGGTATTAAAGCATGTTTTGCTGGAGTTGAAACCTTTGCAGGATGGATTTTACCAATAAATACAGTAAGAAAGTTTACCATTAATTTCGTTTCAAAGCTACTAGGACACATGTAACTGTGTTCTAAATTAATCTTTCTTAATTTATCAACCTGCGATTTTCAAGTAACATTCATAGAAGTCATTGTATTAGATTTCTTTCTAGTACATTTATTTAGATTGCATCGCTGCTGTGTAATCATAAAGATTATATCTTGGCTATCAATAATTAAACGGGGTATTTCTTCAGTTTTTCTCATTCTTTATTGGGAATTTATGACAATTTTAGTTTAAAATATGTTTCTTTTATCGTTTTGATTTCCACTTCAGAAATTGTTCTGAAAATATAAACTAAATCTATTATATATTAAAATAAATCTTATTCTTCTTCTTCTTTTTATATATACATGACTCTGCCTGTTTTCAATGAGCCTAGAGTAAGTTGTCTTTCCATCGTTTTCATGGTGTTCCTACTGATCGTCTTCCTATTGAGTAAACGTCTCTTGCTGTCTTTACTACTCTATTTGTTGTCATTCGGCTTATATGATCGTTTCATTCTACTCTTCTATTTCTTACCCAGTTATTGATGTTGTCGTATATTTGTACTTCTAGCTCTGTCCCATAATGTCTTATCATAAATTTTTCCAAGTGTTTTCATCTCTGCTATTTCTAGCTTCCTTTTTGTCCTATCTGTATCAGGTCTTGTTTCTGCCAAGTATGTCATTATTGGTCTGATGACTGTTTTGTAAATTCTGCCTTTCATTTCTTTTCCGAAATTTTTATTTCCCCATATTGTTTCATTTAGGGAGCCTGCGTCTCTGTTGGCTCTATTCATTTGATCTTCTACTTCGGTTTCGAGTTTTCCGTAGCTAGATAATGTGATGCCTGGATATTTAAACTCCATCACTTGTTCTATTATCTGACCTTCCAGCTCCAATTTACATCTTAGTAAATTTGTTGTTGTAACCATACATTTTGTCTTTTTTTGTCTTTTTTTTTGGGAAATTAACATGTTAAATTTTAAAATAAATCTATTAGTTGAAATTAAAATGCCACAAGAAAATAGCTTTAGAGCAATATGAATATTTCTGTTTCTATTGTTTGTAATAAATTAGACTAAAATTGGTATGGACTGCTTTTGAACATTTGTCATTTACAAATACAAACAAGATATATATCAGCGATCTCTGGTTTTTAATGAATTCATCCTTCCGATAACCAGATACGGAGCCTAAAACTACGAACGAACGAAAAAATATCAGAAATACTTGAAGTGGCACAAAGAGCTATGGGATAAACGATACTGAACATATTTTTATGAGACAAAAGAGGAAACGAATTGATGAGAAACGAAGAGTAAGAGACAACCAAAAGAGTCACACACCAAAGTGGGAGTTTGGAATATTGCAAGATGAGAGGATAGAAAATGGAGTTAAATAATGACCATATCTGCGAAAAATATATTAAAGAAGCATTAAGGTGGATTCTTGGTGTTCACTCACAAACTAATCCCTTAATTTGTAATCTCACTAACCTTTTATAGTTTTACCGTGTATAATCGAAACATTGTGAAAACTTTATGGAGTAATATTTTATTCAAATATAATTATATCGAGTAATATAATTTTTATTAAGTCCATTCACCTGCAAACTTGCACTTAATAAATTGTCGAATAATATATTTTCAAATTGAACTTCCTAAGTGTTGCAATAATGGCCTAGATTAAATTGTATTTGTAAGCTCATTGTTCAAAGTTTGTTAATATGATAGAATCATTAACCTCTGTGCTGAGGTATACATTATTTGTGAAATTATACATTGGGGATTTGAGCTCATTTGAGCGCAGTCTATTGTAGAAAGTTACCTAACCAACATCTATAGTGGTATTATTAGTAGCTGTCAATAAAACCATACTTTTTACTCCAGTAACGTTTTATTGTATTTACCATCGTCGATCGAGAAGAAGCGGACAAAGAGTCATTACAAAACGATTCGATCCATATAACTACATTCGAATCTGTCCACTTGGCTAGTTTGGAAATGCCAAGAAGAAGTCGACAGACTAACGAAATATAACTAGAATAAATTCCAGGTCACCGGGAGTATCAAAACATTTCGTATATGTATTTTAGACCTAGGACTTTTCTATTAGTCATTTGCGGCACGTGGCCATGTTTCAACCAATAGGCGGCGAGGTGCTAAACACTTATAGGGAATGATACTTTGGTTCAAAATTCATATGCGGAATGTTCAATTTTCGTAGACCAAAAAGACGACTTTTTATTATAATCAGTTAAAAGGATTTTAAAATATTTGTTTTTTTTTATTATTTAATTAATGACTTTGAATAACTTGATCCATTCAGTTACGATATTGTGTTTGACTACTTGAATTTGTTAATGATGTATTGACCTATCGCATTTGTTAACAAAATAGTACTTCGCCTAAAAGTAAATTAAAAATAAACATCAGTATCACAAGAATCAGTAGATTGACAAGAAACTATACTTTCATTGGTTATTAATGGCTTTGAATAACTTGATCCATTCAGTTACGATATTGTGTTTGACTACTTGAATTTGTTAATGATGTATTGACCTATCGCATTTGTTAACAAAATAGTACTTCGCCTAAAAGTAAATTAAAAATAAACATCAGTATCACAAGAATCAGTAGATTGACAAGAAACTATACTTTCATTGGTTACATTCAGGGCCCTAACCAACTTAAAGTGAATATTTAGAACCAACAAGGGATTACATAATATAGGGATACCTTTCACGTTAAGGTGCCTTTTATAGCGATTTTCTTACAAGACAAGATAGGCAACTGCTAGGAGGTAAATATATAACATAAGGACAAGCATATGGAACAAAACTAGATTTATACATTCAGATTACACATTTAAAGAAAATTGCATTGTATTATTAAAGAAAACTAAAACAATGCAATAGGAAATAAAACAAAATATATTTAAATATAATTTTAAATGTTTAAAATGTAATATTTATTCGAAATTCAATGTCCTTTGCCATATTTAGTTGCATTTGTTTGATTTGCTGTAATGTTGGACGAAATATTGTGCCTTTTTAACCTTTTTTTAGAACGTTCATCTTTAGGTGGTCGTCCAAATGGTAATCTTTTTGACCCTTTAGTAACACCCAACTTTTTTCGGCTGATTAAAGTTGGTTGCACTCTTATATTAGCCTTGTGTTCAAATCGCATTGCCGGAGAACTTGTGGCCGTGTTTAAAAAACTTTCCCAAGCCGTTTTGGTTTTAATCTGCGATAATCTTTGATGAATCGTTGATGAATCAGAGTAATATATCGCTAAGCCTGTACAGTTGCAGTGATGGAGTCGCACGGCGCGTAGAAATGTTTGTTTAAATTTAAAAATTTTTTTTAGTAAGATAAAAACCACTTATCGTTGTCAAAATATTCCTACTTGTACGTCAAGTTTTAAAGATTATAAAACTTTTTGTAGAATTGCAATTAATTTAGTAGTTTCTTAGAAAAAAAATTCCAAAAATCACTAATTACGGCGTTTTTTCAACAAAAATTGCAAATAACTTAAAAAGGAAGCAGTTTTCAAAAAATTACCAAGAGAGGAAAAAATATTTCGATGAGCTACACCTAAAAAAAATTTATTCGAATCGATTTAGGAAATTGCTTTTTTGTTATAAGTTTAAGTTATTTGTTAGTAATAATTTCCGGCACACTTAAAAAAATATATATTTAAAAAAATTAAAAAATATATATTTTACTTGAAAAAATATATAGAATCGTATAAAAAAGAGTTCGTGCGGTAGAAATAAAAAAAATAGTCGGTATATTCCGTTTTTAAGCGTCTTTCGAGGGGTAAACCGCTAGCGTATTCTTCCGATCCATTCTTGAAATTTTTCGTTTAAAAATTGTCTCGTAGGTACGCTAAAATGTGGAGAAGCCCCATCTTGTTGAAAAATCAAGTTTTCTTCACGATAGTGGTCGTATTGCTCAATTATAGGAATTAATATAGCCCAACAGTATTATATAAAATTCCTTCCCAAACGTTGAGTTTCTGTGGATGTTGGGTGTGCACCTCATGAAATATTTTCGGATTGTCTTCGGACCAATAACGACAGTTATGACATTTATATGCACCATAGGTAACAGGAGCACTCATCAGAAAACCAAATATTAGAAACACTATTCTAATCGCCGTTCATAATCATCTTTTATTACGCGGCTATTACAATGTAGATCATTAGATCCATTTGCAACAGCTCTAACACAATTATTATTTTGAGAGAAAAGAGAAACAAGTATAATTCTTTTTAAATATTGTACAGCATTTTACAAAAAAAAAAACGATAAACTTACAGATACAAATGACGCACCAAAACTATTTCTTAAATTCACCTGCTATTTTCAGTCGCATTTTCCATTTATTAAAGTTTTTATCGGTTAACTTTTTTTTTGAATTTCACATATTAAGAATTAATTTCTCGAAAACTGGTCATCCAAAATAAAAATACGAGCTGCTTGTAAAAAAATAAAAAATAACCTTTAAAATGATACCCCTTTCTATTTAAGATTTTAGAGATGAAGGCAACCCCAGATTTGGGGGGTTGAAATTTGAGAATGATTATATTATCAAAACATGTGCACCTAAAAAATAGAATTTAATGACCCAAGCGTTTTTTTTTTGTTTTTGAATACTCCAATACTTTTAGTAAAAATATTTTTCTAATAACATTTTTGTACCGGATTAGGAATTAGTTATTTAATATTAACTATTTCATTTAATCTTGTTTATTTGAATATGATATTTTATTTTATTCATTTATATTTTTGCAGCTTCTGAATGAAGGCGGTATGGATATTATAGATTGTAATAACCATGTAAAATCTGCCATCAACTATTTTGGTCCATCTTGTGCTGTCAACTGTCTTACAGATCAATACAATCCAATCGGAGATAATTCTGATAAGCTGTGCCAACTGTGTGTCGGTAAAATACCCGGAGGAAGATGTACCGATTCCGATCCATATGCAGGATATGAAGGAGCTTTTAGGTGTCTGCTAGAAGCGGGAGAAGTTGCATTTATGAAACATAACACCATACCTGAGCTTTTGAATGGACTTGAATTTGGTAAATACTTTTTAAATTACTCACAATTCACAAAAAGTAAACCCAAAAGCTCCTTGCACTACAATAATATATAATAATATAACAAATATAATACTATAATATTACAAACAATTCTGTTCTCTGCTTTAGGAAACCCCTGCCAGTGCACTAATAAAACCGACTTACAGATAACAGAAAATAAAATAGGTACCTGAACAATGGCGTTGTTGCCCGTTATATTACCTATCTATCTATATTATCTATCTACCGTTAGAGGAAGTTATAAACTACAATATTGCAGATAACTTCAAGTTAAACCATACACGCTGAAAACGTTACATTTTTCCTAGAACTCCAATCTTTGCCAAAACATTTGAACAATTTAAAAATAGACCAGCCAAATTATTGAAATGTATTTCATATAAAATGATATCTCTTCTATATGAACTTATATTCTTTGAACAGTCAGAAGAAGAATCTTTTTTGTCAATTTTTAAGAGGTTAATCAGATTCTGCAATAATCCACTAATTTGTTTGTTAAAATTATTAAATAATTAAATTTTCTTCTTTAATCGGAACAAAAATATTTTTTTCTAAAAGGTAAACGCCCAATTTTACTGGCCTGTAAAAATATATTAAAACATGAGTCACTTGCTACAATTCTGGTACTTCACTGTAATATCAGCTACTTTGTTTATAAAAGCTGTAATCCTTCAGCAGTATTGGCGAAAATAATCTGGTGTCATCGGTATATCTGAAATTGTGCACTAGTTCGCTATTTACCAGTATTCCCGCTTCCATGTTCTATGGCTTGGAAAATTGCCTCTGCGTACATGTTGAATATGAGAGGTGACAATATACATAATTGTCGAACACCTTGCAGAACTTTTACTTCCGTTGTTTTCTCGTTATTGACTTTAACAAGCGATTGATTCCAGTATAAATTTCTGATTATATGCATGTTCTTGCGATCAATTCCAATATTTTGCAGGACTTCATAAATGAAGCAGGCTTATATATTACAGTTCATATGTCTACTTCTTCAGAATAGCTCATGTATGTTGAATAGGGTATCTCGTGTTCCCAGACCTTTCATAGAACCAAATTGTGTTGGTGATACTTATTCATCGCAGGTTTTGTACAATCTCTTATGTATGATTTTTAGAAAAAGTTAACAAGTGACTCATGAGATTGTTCTGTAATCACTGCACTTTTCGGCGCCTTACTTTTCGGCAGTACTGTAAATTCTGATCTCAACCATTCTTTGGGTATTTTTCCAGTGTTGTATATCTTTTTGAAAATGGTAGGTAATTAAAAAGAAAGTTGCTTCCTTTTCGACAGGAAAAATTGTTTTCACGTTCAGAGCTTCTGTGAATAGTCGCTCCGAAGATTTCTTTTAGGATAAAATACGTATAAGCGAATATACAGAGGCATTATACTTGAAATCAAATCTTAACTGTATTTCTTTTTATTTCGATTTACTCATTATGAGTACGAGAAACCAATTCGCCACGGATTTTTGCTTAGTTGAAGAGATATGTTGTGGAATGCAATTTTAGATTCCTATTTTCTCTAATTACACCTTTATCAACGTCTGTTTGCTTTGAAATTCTTAGAAGGCACAGATTAAAGCAAAAATCTGGATTTTGGTTTCATCAATATAGAAATCTTCGGATTTCTATTTCGTGATTTAATATAAGATGTCGCTATTGCGTCCATAGTGAAGCTATTTTATCGTTGCTTCCTTTTCTACAGGAAAGATTGTTTTCACGTTTAAAGCTTCTGTGAATAGTCGCTCTGAAGATTTCTTTGAGAATAAAATACGTTTAAGCGAATACACAGAGGCACTATACGTGAAATCAAATCTTAACTGTCTTTTTATTTCGATTTACTCTTTATGAGTACGAGAAACCAAGTCGAAAAGGATTTTTGCTTAGTTATACAGTAAGTACTAACAGTAGAAATACTAAACTTGATATATTTAAATAATAATAGACTTATACACCTCTAATAGATTCTAGTGATAATAATAGACCACCATTCTTCTTTTTACTCTCAAAATATTCAATTAAATTTGCAATTAATTGCTTTCAATGGCTGGTCAAATGCGACGGCATTTTTGTTTTAATACGATTCAGTTAAAATATCTACAATTTGAATCAAAATAATCGAGATACTAAGGTAACAGAATTTGGCGTGTAGACCGTTTATATTTTAACCAACTTCACAAGTATAAATACAAATCTTACATAATCTTCTATAGAACACCATGGGTTTGACACTTATAGTACAGATAGTTATCTATCTTTCGCACTCTTAAAGGCAAAGAAATACCGTGTAGCCAGTAGCTGATGTGGTAAATACATTTATGTTTTTTATTTGCTAACAGCGCAACTCGGTTAAGACGAATGGGTAAAGAGGTGGAATTGTTAACAACTGTTAAAAGGAGGAAAGCGTCATACCTGCTATGTGTTCCGTAATGATAAGTACAGTCTGCTACAGCTTATCGTGGAAGGCAAGATTGAAGGAAGAAGAGGTTTGGTCAAAAAAAAAAGAAATCCTGGCTGAGAAACTTGAAAGAATGGTTTCAAATACCAGAAGCTGCGAACATAATACATGCGGCACAAAACAGAGAAACCTATCGTTTGATGGTCGCCAACCTTCGGTAGAAGACGGTACATAAAGAAGAAGAAGAACAGCGCTTTCCTGCGAAACTTGACAGTAGCGAAAAAACTAATATATGAGGAAAAATTTGTCGAATTTGTTGCCGTCAAGTTTGTACCAGTGGGTTATGTCATTAAATCTATGACGAACACGTTTAATTGTTTGAATTGTCCTTTATGATTACTACTTCCAGGTCCTCTAAAGGGATGTCCGGATCTGTTATGGTGTGCAGTAGAATGTAGTGATTAGTTGGTGATGTAGATACTTTCATATTCTAGATATCTTCAGGTGGCGATTGGATTTTAAATATTACCTGAAGTTATTGCTGTACACCGCAGTACCATGTACTGCGAAATTCTTCACCCAAAAAGGCGGACAAAAAAAGTAACCTTGTCTTAGCCACTGTATGTGTTTTAAAATATTTCTCCTTAATACTAATTGCATATGGGAATAATACATTGAAAAATAAAACGTAGTATGTAGTTTTATAATGTTACACTCAGTGTCAGTGTCAGTGTCTCTGATGAGGGTTTGAGTAACCAAGCAATTAATAATGTTTTTTTTTTATTTCAGGTGGCCTTACTTTAAACAACTTTGAATTGTTATGTAAAGATGGAAGCAGACGCCCTATAGGAGAGTACCTGTCATGCAATTGGGGAAAAGTTCCATCCGACGCTGTAGTTGTTTCATCGGCTGTTTCTTTTGACGAGAGGCTGAAACTACAACGATTTTTACAGAGATTTGCCGAACGTTATCCCAAAACTCACAGGAATACTACACAAAGTATTTTCGGAAATCCAAATGAACCAAATCGAAATGTAAATGATCAAAGTAACAATCCCTACGCAACTGATCAGAATTATAATAATAATAATAATAATAGATTTAAAAGACAGGACTATGGAGAATACAATCCGTATACAAGAAATGATGATAACCGAAATCAAAATACCAACGATGCTTACAACCCTTACACGAGGAACGACGGAGGTGTAAATGTAAACGATCCCTCAAATCCCTATACGAGAAACGATGATACAAATCCTTACACAAACAACCAAAATAATAACGACGCTTTCAATAGAGATCCTTATACAATAAACAGAGATCAGTTTGGTGTTAACATCGATCCCTATGGTAATAACGACAACAGAAATAATTATAATCCTTATTCTTCTGACACAGAATCACCCTATGGTCATTTCCCTAACAAAACTCATAATGTTACATATTACGAAGTATTCGATTTGTTTGAGTCTAGTCCAAGGTATGGAATACATCTAAATTTAATGTTCCAGGTAAGTTTTATCTTTCATAAATCATATTTTTACATGGATAGATAGTTTCTTCACGCTATCATACAAGTTATGTACATACACATGTCAAATATAATAGAAATAAATTATTTTACACTTCTTATGATACCCTTTTCAATTAAAGAATGTTGGCGATTATTTCGGAAAATTTTTCTCTATTCTCCGATGTTCTTACTAGTTCTTCGTAATTTAAACCCGTTTAATGTCAGATATTTCGAATCCAAGAGAGTTTTTTCCTCCCGATTCCGCATTTTCCTTAAATTTTGTCTGTTATTACGAATTGGGGGAGGAAATATTTCTGATTCCTTGATAGCTTACCAAGGAGAGATGTCTTTGGTGGTGGTGGAATAACTCTCTGTCTTTGCTTAAGCGATCGAGAACCTGTTAATTTATTATATGACCAGTCCCGTGAATTTTAAATATTGCTATGTAAGTCCACATGTCTCCAAATGTCTCCTATCTTGTTCATGGTTGGAATTGTAAACGTCCATGATTCTGCTCCGTGTATACCTAGACCTAAAGGGTTTATTAACGCCTAGAACGCTAGAAAATTTTCTAGCTAGAACATTTTCTAGCGTCAGGGCGTCTAGCGTTTCTAGACTGGGTCAGAGGCACAGGCCGACGAAGAACATCGTGGCTCCAAAATCTGCGAGAATGATATCAAGAAACCACCGCTAGTTTATTTAGAGCCGCCGTAAATAAAGTTATTATTGCCAATATGATCGCCAACGTTCGATAATCGGACAGGGTACTGAAAGAAGAAAGATGAGTGCTGGAGGAATATAGTTACCTGTGGAGTTCATGCAACATACAGCCATTACAAGTTGTCCACGATCTTCACTAGCTACCTTCCCTACAAGTTTCTTTCCCTTGCTCGCTGATGTCTTGCGTAATATATATTTAATTTGGAGAGTATATGAGAGTCAAAAACTCACTTCATTACAAATAATATAATTTCTAATCACATTAATAATTATTGCTTATAAAACAATTCGCACTGTTATGTATTATCGCCAATAGTAATCTAATCTAAAGCCGCATCGGTATGCTTAAATAATGAAAATGAAATGTTCTTGAAATATGTGACTCACAACAATACTATGCACCAATGCTTCTCGGACAGTGAATGTTTTAAACAATTTGCTCTCGATTTTTTTTATAACTTTTAGTAAGCAAAATCTAATAGCGCTTTATATTATTTTAGGATTCAGCCAGAGCAATAATTCCCATAGCCGAGAACCAACAAACGTATACAAACTTTTTAGGAGAATCACTTGAAATTATCATGGGCATCAGGACATGCCCAGTGGGAAGAATGACACTATGCGTCACTTCCGACGCCGAGAAAAATAAATGTGTCAAAATGAGGGTAAGCTATTTGTTTTTTGTTTAAATGTTTTTTCCAGGAGACATATATGATATACACGAACGCTAAGGAAGAAAACAAATACACTACAATAGTGTAGTGGTAGAAACTAAAGTATCGGAGAAACAAGTAAAAGAAAGATATACTTATCAAACAATATCGGAGGTAGAAAACAATTAAAAGCCATTATCGTAACAATATATAAAAGAAAATGGTAGTGATAATGCGACTGAGGAATTGCTCTGCTAAATATTGTATATAAAAAACTCCTACTAGAATAAGAGCAGGTCAACAACTAGACAAGGTGGCTTTATCAAAATTTTCCTATAAAACAGGTTTTAAATATGTGTTAAACCAAATCTCTTGCCTTATATTGATTAATTGCAATAGAGTGCATTACGAGCTTCATATAGAGAAACTAGTTAACATTCTAAACTACTTACAAAAATAATTAAAATAATGAAGAAATCAGAATTAATAAAGAAGTCAGAAGACTTCTCTTCAATGGCGTTGATATGAAAGCAGACGATTGTATTTCTCTTCAATTCGAGCTCCATCGCATTCGCTAATTCGTTATCAAAGAGAACTCTTGTGACTTCTTGTTACTTCATATATAGAGGTCGCTACTAGCGTACTCAGGTATGTTGTTAATATAATAAGGGCCATATAGATTAAGATAATTTCATTTCTGTTTGAGCTACCACAAGTGTTCACTACAATGCAATCGTCTACTTTCAATTAAAATAATCAGTATTGTCCTGGAAAACAAGGGAGCATGAAAGATAAAATAGAAAAAAATATATTTTAAAATTTTGAAGTAGGAAGAGACCTTGAGCAAGGGTATCCTGAATATACTGTACTCTTTTCTCTGCAATGGAAAATACTAAGGGTAAAAACATAGTGAACAGGCTAGTCAAGAGTCAAGCGACGGTCTAGCTGTCCGTTTTTTCGATCAACAATGTCAGCGGGGCGTACACATGCGTGTACTGGAGCAGTAAGTTACGAGTTAAATTTCATATAACCTCATATTATGGTAATAAAATACATAAATTTTGTGAAGCAGCCTAATGCGCTTGACAATCATATCTACTGGAGCAGCGCTTCAAAGAAATAATTGTGGAGTTAAAGGGAGGCAGGTCAAGCTTCATGTCAATGCATACATCGCTGATGCCTCACTGTATGCAGGCCAACTTATGGCTGAATTAATGAAGCGCAGCTACTCTTGACTCGCCGCTCCACTTTGTTTTTACCCTAAGAAAAATTGGGACACATACTTCGGAAATATCTACCTAACATAATTTCTCTTTTATTGTACTATTAGCTTTAAACAAGAAACAGATAGCAAAAGACGCAAAGAAAAAAACGCAAATAATTATGGACTGAAGATTAAAATAAAAAATAAAGTGAAAATATTAAATTTTTATTTCATCTGAAAATGTGGTATTTTGAGTGGGAGATTCATGAATTCAGAACGTTTAAGGGCTACATTATTGTGAAAATAGCATTTAAAACTTCTAGACAAAGTAAAAATAAAAGAAAAAGAAAATTTAAATTAAAAGACAATCTGACCTTTCTCGATTTATAACATTTTAGACTTTTTTGGCATAAAATCAATAAGTTCTTTTATATTTATTTGTCTATTTACTGACCTCAAAACCATAACTTGATGAAACTCCCAATCAGTTTATATTTTTATTGTGCAATCTATTTTACAAAGTCCAGCTTTTAAATTACCGACAGATTTTCTATCGTATTAAGATCTGTCAGAATTTGTCACTAAGTTGACTAAAGGCCTGGAATTAGCGAGATTGATGAAGTGAGGAGGTATGGAAGAAATAAGATTAGTAAAAAGTGGATGTGTGGATAAGTAGGATATGAAAATTACTGGATTGTAAAAAAGGGAGTCAACCGTAGAAGTAAACTATGTGAATGGTCTTGTAATGTACTAATAGAAAATGTAATGAAGAGTGGAAAAAGGAAAAAAACTTGTTTTTAAGAAGGTTAAGAAGCCTAATAAGTTTTATACAAACTTTTATACGTATTTACTTTACATTTTCTTTCAGACTGCATTGAAAGCTCAACTTATGAAACCGGAAATGGAGTGCTATAAGGGTCATTCCCAAATTCATTGTATGCAGGCAATTAGAGCTGGAACCGCTGATGTGACTGTGCTGGATGCTAGTGATGTATATACAGCTGGGTTAAACTACGATTTAGTGCCTTTTATTAGCGAGGTTTACAATTTGGAAGAGCCTGAATATTATGTGGTTGCTGTTGGAAAAGAATCTGATCCAAGTACTGAATTGACGTATTTGAAAAGTAAGTAAAGTCTTTAAAACATTTTAATCAGCTTTTTTTAGTTTTTGATTGATTTTCTAATTATCCATATTCAAACTTTTTTAACCCATATGTTAAATTTTTATTGATAGATAAGAATACTTGTCATGGAGGAATAAATACAGCAGCAGGATGGGTTTATCCGTTGGCTTTCATGATTAGTAATGGATGGATCAGACCATACGGCTGCAACAGTATTAGAGCAGCAGCTGAATATTTTTCAAAGAGTTGTGTCCCAGGAGCTATCAGTACTGAATATAATACAGGGGTGCCATACGATAACATGTGTGATTTATGCCATGGAGCGAGTTTCAGGTAAACGCTTTAATAATATAAAGTCTTAAATATCCCTTCATGCTTTCATCTATTTCTCCTATTGCTTCTCAGTTGATACGAAGAGTACACTTTTATACTTATTGCATAATTATTTCGTGGCAGGGCTGAAAGTAAATGTTCTATGCTATGGTATACAGTCTAGAAGTTTCGTATACTTAAAGTATAGCTGGATAGAATATATATGGAAAGAGGTTATACAATGGAAAATACAGAATTTAAAATAATTTGCTATCCTGATGATATGGTGATATCTGACTACTGTATAGGTTTGAAATAGTTGCAAAATAAATAAATATGATTATCTCTCTCGACACATTACAGTCTATGACAATATCAAGATAACACAGAAGAGTAAGTTAGCAATTTATAATAAAAGTGTGGAGCAAGTCATGTCTAAATATCTAAGTGCTGCTATTATAAGCAATAGAAATAAACAAACATAAGGGATAATAGCGGTTAAGGTATCAGAATTTCTCCAGAATGTAATACGGAGAAACAAATATATGAGCATTGAAATACGAATTTACAAAGCCTGTTTAAGAATAATTATGAAATAAGGGCAGAAACAACTACTAAGAATGACAAAAATGAAGACTCTAAGATCAATTACTGGCAAAACACTAGATATAGGTTGAAGAGCAGCGATATTAGGACCCTAATAGAGATATTTTAACATGATCTAGAGTCAGAAAAAGAGCATGGAGAGACTACATTGTTGATCAAATGGGTGATAATAGACTTGCAAATATTACAAAGGAAAAGAAACCAAACACCAGCAAACCACCTAGAAGACGTTTCAAACGCGGGTATGAAAACTTTGAAAAAACAAGACATTGTCTTAAAATAATAATATTAAGAAGAATTTATCCGGTTGCTACTATTTTATCTGTGTGATCTGTTTTCCATGTGTATTTTTTTAAGTGTGCAACTGTTCTATATTAGAGCTCACTGAGTCGCTTTTCTTTGTAATATTTCATTTTAGTTTTGGTATATGTAAGAATCGATCCCATGGATTTCTTGTACTGTATCCTCAGTTATTATGTAGTTATTGTTTTAGATAATGTCGATTGTATTATATTACTATTTGCTGGTCCTATTTTTATTCTATGAGATCTGGTCATTTTTAGTTATTCTGAGTTCGACAAGCAGGATGTGGCACTTTATATGCGCACAAATAGAAAATAAACTTTTCAGGGAGAGCTCGAATATATATGCGATATTCTAAGTGGAATTTATTGTTAAGTGCGTTGTTTCCGAATAAAAAATTTGAATATTATCAAACCACTGTACATGTTGTGTAACATTAAATACAAATTTAAGTTTACATATATACATATAATAGTGAATTTTTTTGAAATCTACAATGGTAGTGCTTGCAGATCGTAGATTTCAAAGGAGTGATGTTTTCTCGTAGACCTTTCTACACTCCACCTAAAAGATCTTTTTTGTGTGTATAACATATATTTTTTAGTTCAAAAGAGCTAGAGTTCTAAGAAAACCTATTATCCGTTTGGGAGATATATGACCCTTTCCAGGATTTATCAATTTGGTGAACAATCACCCTGTAGTTGTAGTTCGGTCGTGTCCACTGCATATTTCCAGAATCTGGATATTGCTCTTTCTGCATATTGAGCTTTCTTTAGTGAGACAATAATCTCGGTCCTAGTAATTCGTTTATGAGCTAACACCCATATAAACTTACTTTGTTGTACTTCTCCAGTTGCTTAAGTGACTTTTTACAGTTCCAGCTGTTACGGACTGTTTGTATAGCGTTTAGTTCAGCTTGGCTTTCAGAAGCAATATTTTAGCCGAATTGAGGCGTTTCTTTAGAATGTCTTAAGCACAAAAATCTATTGGTAGTAATTCTATGGTCTTCTGGCCATTAATCTCTATTCTTACTTCATGCATTTTAATGATTACATTTAGCAAGAGATTGAATTTTTGTTTTGTAGCAATGTCTGTGAGTATCTTCATAGTTTGCATTGTTACTATTAAACTCTGCGGATGTCGCAGAGATACTGAGCCAATTTCTAGAGCGGTACTCTTTATAGTACAAGATCCCATTGCAAGATCATTACGTTCGTAACGTAGTCAATCAAACTCACATTTTTACACACCTTTAAGAATAGGAGAATACATTGATAATAGGTTGCTAGTCAAAAAGTAGCTGCAAATATTTTTAGTTTAATTTATGGTAATTATACTTCAGGCGTATTACCCAAAGAGTGGTTAAAGTCGATTTTTAATTGTCTCTCCAAAAAGAAAACGCAAGAGAATTCAGCGATTACCGCACCATTAGCTTGATGTCTTATGTGTTAAAGTTACTACTAGAAGTCATCCATAACCGAATATATCACAAACTGAATATAGACATTCATGATACACAATTTGGTTTTCGCAAAAGCCTAGGAGCGCGTGAAGCTCTTTTTTCACTTAATATACTGATACAAATATGCCTGGACGTCAATCAAGATATATACGCATGTTTTATTGACTATAATAAAGCATTTGATAAAGTACGACATGAACAATTAATAAATGTCCTGAAATCAAAGAAGATTGACTACAACGACCTCAGGATCATATCAAATTTATACTATAAACAGCGAGCAAAAGTACGTATTCACAAACAGCTGTCAGAAGAAATTGAAATTAGATGTGGAATGAGACTGGGATGCGCATTGTCGCCAATTCTTTTTAATGTCACTCCGAAGAGATCCTGAAAAAATCTCTTGAGGGTGAAACAGCTGGAATAAAGGTAAATGGAGTTCCCATTACCAACATTAGATATGCGGACGAGACTGTGGTCTTAGCCGAAAATATTGAAAAGCTTCAGAGACTGGTGACCAGAATAGCGGAGTATGGAAAAGAGCACGGTCTAGCAATGAACGTCAAGAAGACAAAATTTATGAGAATATTGAAAACTCAAAGAAATAACGAGAATCTTCTAATAAACTGAACCAACGTCGAACAAGTGGACAAATATGCATATCTAGGAACAATGATTAACTCCACAAATGATTACATTCAGGAGATCAAAATCAGGATAGAAAAAGCTAGCGCAAATTTCAACAAAATGAGAAGAGTGCTATGTAAAAGGGATGTAAAATTAGAAATAAGAGTTAGGTTGGCGAGGTGCTATGTTTTTTCGACTTTGTTTTAAGGAATGGAATTTTGGACCTTGATTGCGACATCAATGAAAAAACTGGAATCATTCGAGCTGTAGGTGTATAGAAGAATTCTGAAAATATCGTGGACAGAACATGTCACAAACAAAGAGGTTCTGAGAAGGATGAGTAAAGAAATAGAAATTTTAAATACAATTAAAACAAGAACATTGGAATATCTCGGACATATTACACGTGTAGAGAAAACACCTTGTTCCAACTGATTATGCAGGGAAAGATCCAAGGAAAAAGAAGCATAGGGAGGCTTAGAATGTCATGGCTGCGCAACCTGAGACAGGCACTTGAAGAAGATGGTAATTAATTTTTAAACAAAAATTTCGTTTATTTATTTTTTAATTAAAATTACAGTAATTTTTTTAAATATGATGATATCAGGTTTCCTGAGAAAAAATGGTAGCAAATTTGGGTTGTCAGCTGTTAAAAACGCGAGGTATCAAAGATAAAGTAACGAGAGCTACCGCGCAACGCCACTGTTTGACATGGCTAGTGTCAGGCGTCGTTTGACAATCGTTTGAATTTGATATAAAAACATGTATACGTCATGAGCAGCGTATTTTATTTAAAAATAAATGAAAGAAATAATATTTTTTGTACAAAAATGAATTACCATTAATTAAACCAAAAATATTTGCGGCCACTTTTTGACTGGCAACCTGTTTTCAATGTATTCTCCTATTCTTACATATGTTTAAAAAATGTGAGTTTGATTAACTACGTTATAATCGTAGTGATCTTGCAGTGGGATCTTAGACTATTACTAACTAGCTTTTTAAATAAAAGCTAAAACATAATGACAACCAAATTATTAGGAATATTCCATATTTTTTTTTAACTGTAGAAATTTAACATTAAACGCTTTCGCTTGCACCACTTTAAGACAGTGTGACATAATCGAAAAAAAGGAACATACTGAGTGGCACAAATTTCAAATGATGTATTACTTGCCATATGATCCTGTTTACAATTATTTTATAAAAAGGCGCCCATCCGTCGTTTCTGTAATTGTGTGTATGTTTTGTTTGTTTTTTATGTGTTTGTTTATGTGTTTAGTTGTGTGCTTGTTTGTGTGTTTGTATCTTTGTTTGGACATTGTGTGTATTTTTGTGTTTGTATGTTTTTTACTAATAATTACATGATCACTCAGATGTCATAAAAACTATGAACATGTGCCTTAGTTGTTTACTCAAAAATATATTACATAATTTTAAAATCCACAAGGAAAAATTCCTGTAGCTGGCTGTATACCACGTATAACAAAAAGAGGCTAGTCTTTGTAAATGGGTATATTTATTTAAAAAACCCTTAAAAGGGCCACATCAATAAAACAAACGTTTTCGGACCACACAGTCCATCATCAGGTTTTAAAATCGAAAAATGCTAGGTCACAATGCCTGAGCCACCAAAATACTAGGGTAAAAACCCTTTAAATTACATTTAGTTATGAAAGATTGTACATTGTGTTGTAAAATAACTGTGATGTTCAGTATTAAATTAAATTTGACTAGAGGTAACACATGGCTCAATCGAGTTCCAGAGCCGGTGAGAGAGAACCTCTACACTCGGAGAACAACTGGGAACTCTTAGTTCCTAGCTGTTCTCCGATTGTAGAGGTTCTCTCTCACCGGCTCTGGAACTCGATTGAGCCATGTGTTACCTCTAGTCAAATTTAATTTAATACTGAACATCACAGTTATTTTACAACACAATGTACAATCTTTCATAACTAAATGTAATTTAAAGGGTTTTTACCCTAGTATTTTGGTGGCTCAGGCATTGTGACCTAGCATTTTTCGATTTTAAAACCTGATGATGGACTGTGTGGTCCGAAAACGTTTGTTTTATTGATGTGGCCCTTTTAAGGGTTTTTTAAATAAATATACCCATTTACAAACACATAATTTTAGTTTTAATGGCTAAGATAATAATTGGGCGAGGAAGACTTTAGACGCGCATTGTATAATTTTTTTTATTAAAAAATTAATTACCATTAATTAAACCAAAATTATTTGTGGCCACTTTTTGACTGCCAACCTGTTTTCAATGTATTCTCCTATTCTTACATATGTGTAAAAATTTGACATTCAAACGTATTTTGACAATTATCATTTGGATGAATATATAACGTGATTACGTTAAATTTACTATTAAGATTCGACTGACGACTTTTCATGTTAATATTTATCCGTCCATTTGAATTTCACCATTTCAAACTTAAATCTACAAGGGTCTGTTAATAATAATCCTTTGTCTTAATATTCAATTTTTATTTCATTCCTTGTTGTGACTATAGAACCGTCTCATTAAATCGTCGGAAAATAGTTTTATTTTTAGATAAAAGTTGACCTAATAGTTGTTTTTACGTATTTGTATCATATATTGTAGGTACTGCAGAAGAGATGCTTCGGAAGACTACTACGGTCACACGGGAGCTTTCAGATGTCTAGTAGAAGGTGGTGGACACGTTGCTTTCGTGAAACATACTACTGTAACCGAAAACACTGGTGGAAAGAAGAGGGAATGGTGGACTAGGGATAATCTTAACGACGATTATGAATTATTGTGTCCAGATGGTAGGATGTAAATTAAATGCATATCCCAAGAAATTAATTGTTGTTTTGTTGTCGTAGGTACTAGGGCTGAGATTAATGAATATACTAAATGTAATCTTGGCAAAGTGAAAGCCAATGCTATCGTTACACGAGGAGGATATGGGTACAACGAGACCCATATTAATGCCTACATTAACCTGTTTTTGTATGCTCAAACCTTCTATGGTAGAAAATTTGCTGATGAATTTAGGTAAATATAATATTTTTGTTTAATTTATTATTCTTCCGGCGATAATACTGAAATAATTTATCAAATTAACTTTTATGTGAAATAACTTCTGGAAAACAATATCTAAGCTATCTTCAACTATTTCATTTTCGATTAAACAATATAATTTTTTACTTTAGTTCGTGAGCTTAATAAAGCAATGTTTGATCAACTCTATAAAGATGATTTTTGGTCCATCAACAGTCTTTTCGTCTGATATTACATACAAGGGGTAATATATTAGTGCGAAAAAGATATCCGTTATAGTAAAAGATACCAAAAAACTTGCCTACAAAAACCGAAGGCAGTATTCAGTTTCACATTATAAAAGAAGTTACCATGTTACAGTTAATATACTAGGTCTCAGTGAGACACAGTGGAATGGAATGGGAGAACACGTCAACGTCGAAGGCAATCTGCTGATATGCTCTGGTAAAACGGATGGAGGACGACATGAAAATGGAATAGGAATCCTGTTTAGTAAAGCCACAAAAAAACATTCTCATGAAATGGAAACCAGTTTCAGAGCGAATAATCATTAGATTAGGGCCAAGTTAAGAAAGGTAACACTGATCCAGTACTAAGCAGTAACTGAAGAAAAAAAAGAGGCTTTCTATGAACGCCTTGAAGCCATCTTAGAACAAATTAAAAGATCCAATATAAAAGTAGAGATGGCAGGTTGACATAATAACTTAGGATACCTTGTCATAACACTGCGCACTGGCCAGATAAATAACAACGGCGAGCTTTTCATTGAACTGTGTAGTAATCATGACCTAGTTATTGGAGGAACTTTGTTCCACATAAAACAATCTACGAAGTGTCATGTAAATCGTCAGAAAATCGCACTAACAATCAAATCGGCCACATCGCAATAAGTAAACAATGGAGAACATTTTTCTTCCTGATCACTATCTGATGATGGTCAAAATAAGATTAAAGATAGATAGGAATCGGAAAGAACCGAACAAACCTATACGAAAGAAGTTCAACGTTAAAAACGACAATACAACGAGACGCAAATAGAATTTGTACGAGAACTGCAAGCCAAAATAGACCAGAACCAGGACAAAAATTGGGAAACGATTAGCAATATTCTTGTGGAAACAATTGGAAACACTACACTACCAAATAATATAATATAAAATATTTTACTTTCAATATTGATTAGTACGAATATGATTTAAAAAAAACCTCCTCCTGTAAAATTCCACTTTTGCTGGTTACGATGTTTTCCTGAAAGGGCTCGATATGTATATAAAAAATAATTAATACAATCAAATACCAAGTTGTACCTGAAAGAGATAATAATATAAATAATATTTTAAAGGGTAAACTAAATATACTGTAAAAGAAATACGTTCGTTTTACAAATTAACTGAACACTGTGCAAAGTTCGTTACATACGTCACGAACATGACGTGACAAAAATTAATTCAATTAACAAAGTTAGAAAAGTTATTATTAAAAAAACAACCATGAATATCTGCCGAATATCACAATCGAAATACTGTGTAGACATAAAAAAATATATGTTATCGTATTTAATATTGAAATTTTAAGATTTGAGTACTCTCAAAAATAGTACGAAAAAAATATCTCGGAATTCGATTCAGTTAAGGTTTAACTATATCCAATTACTAATAAATAAGACAAAAATGCATATATACTTATACAGTAAATAATATTAACAATTATTCCTCGGCTTTTTAGCACCGTACTTATATTATCAATTGTCCATCGTCAAAGGGAAAACTATTATAAGATGATAGAACACTAAACTGAAGTCGCTAGTATCTCTGATCATAAAACTTTCGGCTTTTGGTTGATTTGAGATGAAACCTAAAAATACAATTATATGCATTACTAGGCATCCATAACAAATTTATATTTAAATAAAAAATATTATTAATGAACTCAAAAATATTATAAAAAGCATAAAAATTATTTATTAGTATTTTATATTCTGTGTATTCAGTATTTCTATTTTATCGGAAGTAGAAGCGCACCTATAGTGCGTTGGCGAATTATCTTAAGGCCAGACGTCTGTCTTTTGCGGCATGCAAAAGATCGCCAGTGTTATATAGCCAAGACATTTGTTTGCGACCTACTCCTCTCTTGCCTTCAATCTTTCCCTGGATGATTAGTTGAGGGATTGCGTATTTTTTTCCTCTCGGAATATGGCCGAGGTATCCAATTTTTCGTACCTTGTTGTACGTACGTACGTATCAAATTGAGTAGTTCTCTTCCAGTATTAGCCTTTCTTAAGACTTCCTCATTTCTCGCCCTATCTGTCCATGGTATGCGGAACATACCATGGACAGATAGGGAAAATTTTTGCAGAAAATAAACGAATTAATCTGCCGCATCCAGTTTCTGCTAGAAGTAAACCTAAGGTAGTTCATACCGAGCGATTATCGGTCCCTGATAGACCAGTTATTCGAGGAGAATAAAGGAGGAAGCAGTGTTATGACAATTCCATGCGATTTATTCCGTATAGAATCCCTTGACAACAAAGAAAAAGTATTAAAAAAATCTGGAATGTTCGAGATGTCATCGAAAAATCCCCTGAAATGTCCAGTAAAAGTTATAACCAGGTATTATTGTTGGCGTTTGAATAAAGTATTTTAGAGAAAAGTAACAATAAATTTTTTCTATAGTAGCTGGAGTCGAATATTAAATATTACGAATACTTATTTGTAATGGGTAAAGAGCGTTTCAGGGTTAAGATATGTAATTCATATGTTGAATATGTCTGCCCTGTTTAAGTCACAATTAAGATCCGATTAACTCAATTCACCTAGTCCGAAAATGCTTCTTAAGGGAGCTAGATATCTTTGAAGATGGCACCTTGTAATTAGCTTTTTTTTTAAATACCTCCAGAACGCATATATTTAGAAAAACGAAAACTGGTACGATTATTTATCCTCTAGAGTTGAATGGATTTTATAAGTTGATAATTTCTAGTACCGATCGTAAGCGTCCGTTTTGGGTAGGTCAACGGGTATTTTAACGCATAACTTTTTTGTCTTTACCTTTTAAGCATTCGAGATATTACTATTACTTTAAGTCAATAGGATACACCGTTGTGCAGAAAAATCGATTTGAAAATCTTTCGTTTTTTAGTCATGAAAGTTACATTAATATTTTTTGCACTAGATGCCTTTGACCTATCAACAGAAATATAACCTACGTTGTTAATTGTTAAATTGTGGTCGATTCGCGAAGTTTATCTTTAAGTTTTTTACTTTGTGGCATTCAAATATAGCCAGAAACAAATCACCCGGAATAGATAATCTCCCAGCGGAATTATATAAAGAAGGTGGCCACGATATCATAATAGCGCTACAGCAGCTTATAAAAGCAATATGGATACAGAAGTCCCTTCCCAGTTATTGGAATACTTACCACCATACACAAAAAGGGAGATATCTTTGAATGCTCTAACTATCTTTGCTCTTTGAATCTTCTCCAATATACTATGCCATCGTATGATACCATATGCAGAGCGAATAATAAGACAATACCAGGCTGGTTTCAGAGGTGGTAAATCAACAATTCATCAGATTTCAACCCTGAGACAAATTCTAGAGAAAACACTGGAATACGGTGTAGACACGCACAATATATTTATAGACTACAAGGCAGACTACGACTATGTAAATAGAAGAGAATTGTTTAGATCAATGATAGACCTAGGAGTACCAAATCAATTGGTAAGTTTAACCAAACTAACCCTTGAAAAAGTTGAATTCAGAGTACGAATCCAGGAGGAACTTTTAATACAAATAACGGGCTAGGTCAGGGAGACCCACTCTCCTGTATACTATTCAATCTAGCTCTGGAAAAAGTAATACGTACGCCACAGATCACAACTACCGGTTCAATATATTACAAATCTGTGCAAATCCTAGCATATGCTTGTCATTACGTGCCTTAGTCTATGGACCAAGGAGCACGTCGATGCCTTTCTACCTCACATTTAATTTACTATTGGCCGAGAGATCCGAAAATGCCATATAAATATTAAAATACTTTTAAATATGCGACATTCTTCGGATCTCAGATCAGTCAAGCCTAGTTTACTACGGTCCCCACGTAGGATGTCCTACGCCTAGGGCCTCTTTCACGGGGCTCTACTCCCTACTTGTCCCGAATCTCTTTTGCTAGGACCTTTTCCACGACAAAACCGAGTTTAATTTACTATCTCGTTTAATTTACTATTTCGTTTAATTAAGATGGAAGCGCAGAGGAAACTTCGGATTGACTGACCGAAGCCCTCTGTAGAGCACCTAGAGAGCTGAGATGGATATTTCTTGTGAAGACCCTAACCTCTCTATGGTGACATGTTGATGATATCAGTATTGTTGGGAGAACGGAATACGCAGCACGAGAGGCGTATGTAGCACTAAAGGAAGCGGCTACAAAAATGGGTTTAATAATAAACATTAATAAAACGAAATACATGAAAATAGTTGCGCAACCACAAATACTATGGCCACTTGTTATAGAAAACGACGTCATCGAAGCAGTTAACGAATTTTTATACCTGGGAATGCTCGTCAATACTGAAAATGACACTACCGCAGAATTTGCACGGCTAATAGATGCTATTTTGGGCTTAATCTCCTTGTAATTTACAGTTATATCAAGAAATACAAAAGTAAAACTCTACAAAACAATAATACGCCCAGTTCTAACATATGGTTCAGAAACCTGGACTTTAACAAAAAGCAATGAAAACATGTTAGGATGTTTCGAAAGAAAAATACTAAGGCGAATCTATGAAGCGGTAAATGAAAATGGTGTCTGGAGAAGACGATACAACTTTGAACTCTATACCAGGAACCAGATATCGTAAAACACATTAAGATAGGACGTTGAGGTGGGTAGGCCATGTAATGCGGATGGAGCAAACCGACACAGCTAGAAAAACGCTCCTTGATAGACCTAATGGTCAAAGAGGAAGACCCAGAACAAGATTTCTAGATAACATAGATCAAGATATGCGAAATATGGAAATACGTGCTAATTTTGAAACTTGTTATTTTGTGTTATTTTGTTATATTCCATCTTAATACTTTGTTTTAAAAACCCTTTAAATAAAATTTTGTTTTAATTTGATATTTTTCTTCTTTTCCCATACTTTTTTTACAAATTGTGAGCTGCATTTATTAATTTATTTTTCATGGGGAAAAAACGAAAAATTTTGAAATCTATTATTCTAGAAAATTGTTTATCCTACCAACTTACAGTAAGAGTACCTTTTAGTACTAGAATATCTGAAAATTTAATAATCTAGTATAAAGAATGCTTAAAAGTTAAAGACAAAAAAGTTATGCAATTAAAATAACCGTTGACCTATCCAAAACTGACGCCTATGACCGGTACTGGAAATTCGCAATTGATGGAATCGATTCAACTCTAGATAAATATTCGTACCAGTTTTCGTTTTTCTAACTAGAAGCGTTCCGGAGGTATTAAAAAAAACTAATTACAAAAGGCGTTATCTTCAAAGAGCTCTAGCTCCTAAGGAAGCATTTTTGGACTAGGTGAATTGGGTTAAATTGTCTTAAAATTATCTGAGAAATCTCTAGTCTTCGTTTGTCACGAGAATTTCTGGACACCCTGTATTATAGTCGTAAATATTGCGCCGCTTGCTATAAGAATGTACAGATACTTTTAGTAAAACATACTATAAGTATAAAATAAGTATACATACGTTCTTATACACCATTATTTTTTCAAAGTTAGTAATTCCTGTATTATACAATTACACTTTTTAATTTTTGTTTATATTACAGTTTCAGTATGTTTTCTTCACCACCTCCATACGCCGATCTGATCTTCCAGGACGCCACAACGCAGCTAAAAATTATCCCTCCCAACAAACGACACTACTCAGATTACTTAGGCAGTGATTTTATGCGAGCGAGGAGGATAGTAGACTGCCATGCCGGTAGTGTCAGTATAAAAGTAACTTTACTGGCAGCCGTTCCAATGATTGTTCTTGCATTTTTATTGTAATTACTAGTTTTTAGGTAGTAATTCTAATGTGATGTAAATATTTCCGTCCACAATTTTGTACTGAACGTCCATTTTTGTAAGATGTTTTTTACCTAGATATTAAGTTGAAAACTTTACATGACTCTGAATCTCATATTTTAAAATGAGCAAGTGCATTTTAGCATATATGAATTTAATACTATGCAATTGATTTTAATGTTTAAGTGTAAATTCTACAAAATTATCAACTGTAAAAGTGCCTTTTCAGCCTTTGTTTTTTTAAATGAATGTCTTTCAAAAACATGTATTTTTCACATCAGTAATCATAATTGTTACGGTTATTAATAATTTTCTATATCTGACGTAAAATGAGTACCTTATTCTAGATAAATAGAAAAATTGAAGAAATAAAATAAAATTAAAAGCAAAAAGTAAAACTCGAAGATTTCTACATGTTTGAAATCAAAATTCAGATTCTCACTCAAATCTGTGGTTTCTGCGATATTAAAGCAAAGAGACGATGAAATAAATCGAAATAGGGAATCTAAAATTGCATTACACATCATATCATTTGATCTAAGTAAGAACCTTTGATGTACTGGCTTCTATTACTCAAAGTATGAGTAAATAAATATTTAGAAAATATATTTAAGATTTGATTTCACGTATAGTGCTTCTACAATTCGCTTATACGTATTTCATTTTCAATAAAATAATTAAAGTTCAACTACAAGTATCTAAATGAGTTCTTGCAGAATGCACTGTTTCATAACTAAGTTGTACTGTTGTATATTCTAAGACTTGTTGAAGGTATACAATTTTTGTTTCTGCAGCAGTTGAAAACGCTTTGAAATCTGATGCATATGCATTTATACTTTCTGGTTTCTAATGTTACATTGGTCGCAATATTGTACTCATATATATTCATTATTTGTCATTGGTTGTTAAACTAGTAACACTGTAGATGATAATCTTCCAACTATTTTAAAATGTTCTCCTACAGTTGTATGCTTGAACCCTGATGGCCGACGATATATGGACTCCTTCACCCTTTAAGGGGGAGGGTATGGCCTGTACTAGCGGTAATCTCTGGCACTTATTTCATACAATCAGAATTAAGACTCACTCTAATGACCAGTCTCTTGTATAAAAATATGTTTGTTTTTTATTTATAAGTAAACCGAATCTCAACTTGGCTCGAATATATTTTTTACGAAATTAATGAATTTGTAATTTTAAGATTGGCTGACCAAAAATAAGTCGCGACAAAATAATCTGATTTAATTATAGTTTTATAATATACTTAAGATATATTGATTTCAAAAGGGCTCAAAAACATTGTTTTAACAAAAAAATTATTGCAACATCAATTTTTTTTATAGAGGCCGTGGAATGGTGTCTGTTCGGCTTATATTAACTTCTTTTTGAAAATAGTTTTCCTATTGACAGGAAAGCTTTCCTCAGATTCATGTCTCATGTTCGACACGGTGTAGTTGAGTTTTACGTTAGAAATTTGCCAGTGTCCAAACCAAGGAGATGGTTTGACCGTTCATCCTCAGAAGTCTTTCGTGCAACAGTTTCCAAAGCTACAATTGCCATTTGGATCGCCAACCTCCGAAAGGAGACGGCGGAATAAGAAGAAGAAGTATACAACTGTTGCCGGAGTTAGAAGATGTACAGGGTCGGTGTCTTACCTTGGTTCGCTTTTTTTTGTTGTAAATTCCAATATTGAATTTTACTTAACGAGTTTAATGTTGGATATAAATTTAGGGCATCATGTTTGTTATTGAGGCATTCTACATCATTGAGGCTTTCTACAAGAGCTGAAGAACAATTAGAAAAAGTAAAAAAATATTTAGTTTGGTTTGTGTATCGGAGAATCATTACCATAGAGAGTTATTAAAACCATAAGATGACTGCCGCCTTTATTACATGATCCTTTAATAAAGTACAAAATACTTCTTTAAAAGAGAGTTATTGCTATCGTGTTAAAGAAATCTTTTTAAAATACGATCATTGAAAAGAGTAAAACGTTGAATTTTATTAAATTGTTATTTAAAGAATACTATAGTCCACAATAATCATCTAACAATATGGAAGAACCATTAGATATAGATAGTTTAGCTGGCGCAAATGATGAAGAAATAGAGTTGTTACTTATGAATATTATGAGTATACAGTAAAACAATAATAATGAAGATTTACTCATTGAGAATAATAATACTAAAAACAATGTTCATTAAATAAAACAGAACGTACAACAAATTTGATCAAATATCTATGTAATTATAAATATAAGTAAAGTTATAATTAGACCTAGACGCCATTCCACACGTAATTTGACAGTTTACGTCAAAATATGGGTAACTTAAATAAAAGTTCTCTGTCCTGTATTTAATTTAAATACAGTTGGTCTCACATAGGGTAAAGCACATAGTTATTGGACAGTTAAGCTTTTTTGTTTTTAATGTATTCATAAAATTATAACTTACAATTATTTGCTGACAAACTTGGGTTTTCCTAAAAGATAAATTAATGCTCTTTAGACGTATGGTTTGGAAATTTAGTTAGACGTTTACCATTTATTATAAAAAAGAATAATACAAAAACCTGCAAAAAAATACAGTTATTGGACGATTTTGACAGATATTGGACATGTATGTGATAGTTATTGGACAAACACTAAAAAGGCGGTAAATACCAAAAAACCACTATTATTTAGGATTAGGTATTTATTATTTAAAAAGTTACTTTGACCTATTTTTATTTTAAGTACAAAATATTTACAAGATAGTCCATATTAAAAAATTATCATTACATATTTTTTTTTACAGCATCTTGGTAAAAACTATACAGTTCGTCAATTTCTGCTTCCGAATTATCATCGTGTACACTAGTATTAGATTCTATGGAGCAATCACTATCAGATGCTTTGAAGCATGTATGACAAAGGAAAATCTCATCTGGATCATCTATATCCACGATATACTGCCTATGTTTCGTTGGAATGCATTGTTCATGAAAAAAGAATTGACAAGTGTCACATTGGATTTGATTATTTTTGGATAGAATGGTACTTTTACATACAAAACAGCTTTTATTTTCTTTTAGTTTTTTTCTTACGGGAAATTTTCCTTTGACATCAGATTTTGTTTTAGCCATAACTTTTTCTTCTCGTTTTCTTTTTCTCTCCTCTTTTTTCTTTTCTTCTTTGTCTTTTAATTCGAGCTTCTTTTCAAACATTTCTTGGCATTTTTTTGAAGTAATTGCAAATGGAATTCTTTCAGTATTTCTCTTCCCTTTTCTCTTAGGACTTTCTGGAATTGTCAGATACTGCCCAAATAATGTTGAATCAATCCTACGAACCTTATTGCTTGTCTGAAAACTTGTTCCCGCACTATCTGTCAAAATATCTTCAGGTGATTTCATTAAATTTGCCACGGTTTTATTTATTAATGTATTTTCAGTTTTATTAGTTGATACAACGTGAGTATTATCCGTGGAATTATCTTGTGTCGTTAAATTATTTTCAGTCTTATTTCCTGAAACTTGGTTGGGCATATCCAATATTGTCGTTTCTTTTTCCATTGGTGCATGCACCAAAACGTCTACTGATAATATAGTTACAGAGTTAGTGTGTGGTGACTCTGGTTTCTCAGGTAAGGTAAACTGATTTGCATCTTGATGTTTCAAATCAATAGAGATTCCTTCTTGATCTGTGATTGTAATTTTTTTAGCATCCATAATTGTATCTTCACTATTGTTTTCAGGTTGAGGATCTTTTATGTCATCCGAATTTGTTTTAATATTTTCATTATTATCTGTTAATGTAATTGTCACAGCATCATTAATTTTAACTTCATTACTATTTTCAGATTGTTTATTGAAATATTGCCAAATTTTAAATAGGGAAATAAACTCGTCACTGCCAGCTTTCGGAATCTGCTCATTTAACAATCGAAATTGAATTATCTTTTCTTCGCCAACAATCTTGGTAAACGTATCATAATCCATCACTGAATCAGGCAATAAAGAAACTTCCTCAAAATGATTTTTTTCTTTCGTATTAGTTCCCAAACATTTTGAATAGTCAATTGCACTGGGGTTAAATGGAAACAGTCCGCAAGCTCTAAAGCCATTAATTAGTGTTTCAGGTTTTATACTTGTCTTAAGGGCTTTCTCCAGTACAGGTGCAAAACTAACCTTGTTTAGGACCTCTCCTGGATGTTTTTCATCCCACTGCCTAACACATCGACGCCAAGCTTCTTTTAAAGGCCGAAAAACTGCCACATCACAGGGCTGTAAAATCCTTGTAGCATTTGGATATAGCGCAAATATCTCTATTTGTAGTTCACTGCATAGAACGCTCAGAGCATAGTTGAGATGAGATTTATGTCCATCTAAAAAAAGGATGACGGGAAATTTTATATTGTTCTTTACAAGGTGGGGATGAAAAACGTTGGCAATGTATTCAAAAAACGTTTCACTCGTCATCCATCCTTTAGCGCTACGTCCAATTCCCCATTCTGGGTTTAGTGATTTTGAAATTTTTTCTGGAAATCTCATATATGGATAAATTATCATAGGCACACAAGTATCACCACTCGCTGAAAACGAAAACATAACGGTTATATTTTCTTTTGGAGATCCCCTATCAATTGCATAAACGTTCTTTGAGCCTCGTTGCGCAAATACTTTTCCAGTGGTCGGATTAATCTGAAACCCAGATTCGTCGCCATTAAAAACCCTAGACGGATCGGCTATTACATCTTCTAATCCTTTTTTTCTTATGTAATTATCAATTTCTACAAACCATTTTCTTATGTCATTTTCAGAGACGCACGCACTAGCTGACGTGAAAGATTCGCTGGTTCTTTCTGAAAGTTCGTGATGCCTTCTTAAGAATGCCTAAAAACCAAATTTAATTTATTTAATGTAAAAGTCAATTTCTCTTAATTCTTACTTTGACCCACCCATCTCCAGGACAGTTATTTTTAAATGGATTCTTTCGAGGATTATCATTTAAAAATTTTTGCACACTGGCCTTCAGGTCGTTTGCTTTTCTGGGAAATCCCTTTCGTGCCATCTCTGTGATCCATCTTAAACAATAGAGTAAAATTTACATTAATAAAAATTGTCTAAATATTGTTCGATTACACATCTTACCTAACCAAAGTTTTCTCTTCATCTTCAGTAAGAATCGGCGAAGGACCACAAGTAGTTTTGTGCTCTGGATGTTTAATTCTAAATTCAATGGTCGATTTAGGTATTCTGTATTTTCGTGCAGCAGATCTGTAGGATTCCTTTTTACTCAGAACATCCTGCACAGCCTCTTCTATTTTATTTCTATCATATTCGCTTAACTTAGGCATCTTTTTTACCTATGCCAGTTAGAATCACAGTTATAAGACACTAATAATTCAGTTATTGGACACCTGTCCAATAACTATTTATGACAACCTAAAAATAAAACAAAATTTATGGTATACTAAATACACTGCGACTAGATTAATGCAACACTATTTAAAGTATTAAATAATATACAGTTATTGGACACATGTCCAATAATAAAATTAGCTGCAAATTTTTGATACAGTTACGGGACACCTGATTTTTAGGTTAAGAACAAGATTTAAGTCAAATTACGTATAAACAACTTATTGTTCGCATATTTATGATCAGATACGACTCGCCAAAAATTCCATATAATTGTCGAAAAAAGATACCTTACATGTTCTTCAAAATTATGATTGTTAACAAAGTATTAAGCAATACTTACCAACTGCCCACGTGCACTTTTAACAATGAAATAAAATGCACATATCAAAGCGGAATGACAAGTACCTTACTAAAATGGAGTAGTTTGAGGCGCTCTCGACATCTGTTGGTGAGTAGTAGTATTTCAATAATTACGAATCTTGTTTTTTTCATTTATAACTAAAATGTCCAATAACTATGTGATGTCCCATAACTATGGTGTTTACCCTACGACATAAAACCCCTCTTCAATAACTCACTATTATCTAAATTTTCCGAAGTGTTCATTTTCACGTATGTGATTGATCATTTAGAAATTGCTGCAAAAACAAGCCAGATAACAAAGTTTATGATTAATTAGAGATGGACATTATTTGTAGTAAAAATAAAATCATTTTAGATTTTAAACAATTTTTAACAGTATTTAATTACACTTTATTAATTTTTATGCATATTTTAGAACATTTTACAAACTTTGTTAATTTTTTTATTATATATTCGAATTACTCATAGGAAGAAATAAATCTTTAGAATTTTTTTATAAGTAGATATGTGATAAATTTACACAAGTTTTTTAGAAACTTTTATTTTACAATAAAATGAACACTCGTTGCCTTAATAATTGTGAATTTTGTAAATATAAAGTAAAATAATTTAGCAACATATATTTAAATGAAATTAGTGAACCACAATTTTGCATGCTTATTCAGTTAGCATGATTATTCATTTGTTATTAATGTCCGTCCAAGGAGTACGTTTATTGACTTGGGAAGATCATCACGGCAATGGCAACTCTAAATAATCGAACGAAGATTATAATTAAACCAGTATCGGGGTAAAAATTTGTAAGGAATTCCACTCTCAAAGGAGTTTGGTATATATTTTTATGTAGTATTAATAATAACTATCCGACTATATAAAAAAGAATTTTTCGCATGTAAATAAAAATATTGT